AAAATTTTTTTTCCAAGGAAAGTTGCGTGGCGTTAGCCCCGCACCCTGAAAATTTTTTTGGGGTGCATCTCAAAATTTTTGCGGGTCTATAGCCCCTAAAATCTAGAAAGAAGCGCCCGAAAAAGAATTTTTAAAAATTTCTAAAAATTATTTTGATTATTTACAAAGATAAACAAGTTACTTGCACATTTTTATAACCCATGTAAGTAAGTTTCACTCCCCCCCCTCGATCCGCCACTGGTGCCTAGCCATAATAAATCCTAAAGATGCTTAAAGAAGTAGCAGGATAAAACATGGACATAAACAGTAATCCAACAACCTGTTTCCCTCCCCTCACCCCATATTTTGATATGCTATTCTAGTTGATAAAATTCAAAAGTCTTTTGGTATTCAAAATTTTTCGAATGGGCTATATCTATAACTTGCAAAAAAAAATTTACTTGAAATTAACCATTATTTTATGAAAATAAACTGGTAAACAGTAGTAAACAGTAGTAGTAAACAAAGTCTACTGGTCATTCGTAGATCGACTGTTAGTAATTCAAAACACCTCTAAATAATCTAAGATATTTCGAAAATTTTTTTCGAGGTTTCTGTTGACACAATAAAAAAGAAATAATTCAAAAAACGCTCCCTTTTATCACTGCTTTTTTGCTAAGAAAGTTCAACTCAACCTGAGATTTTCGCTCTTCTTCCGTATATGCGCACCGTAATAATCTTACATATAAAACTGAATGGTGTCTGTATGTATGTCAGTACGTATGTGCAGAATAGAAATTTTTATTTCTGGACCAATTTGGACCAAACTTGGCACACACACAGTTCGGGGCGGGGAGCGTGTCATACGGTTGTTTCATACTGCAGTCGCTGCAGCAACGACAGTCGATTGATCGATATCTTTTGCCCGCCCCAATATGACTGCAACTGCTGCAGTGACTGTAGTATGAAACAACTCATAGGCTACTTTTCGTCGTCGATCGATATCGATTTTTTGCAGAGTTCACCCACGGGGCTGAGAGTTGGCACAGGGGGGGGGGGGTAGTGGGCATGCTGATTTCGAAAACAACGGAACGGGAAAAGAATTGTAGAAGTGGGCACAAGAAAAGGCTGTACAGGGATAGGGAAGGGACCTTTATTACAGTTTTTGACAGGGCCGAGCGGAGCCGGTGCAAGCTAGTCCTCATTAAAAACGGACAGCATGTTCATGACTGCACTGCCAAATGAACTAAGTGGTGATTTTCAAGCAGTTCAATAAGTTTAGTCCACACATCTACTGTAACCCCATCGCATAGTCTTGCAGTAGAAAAGAATTAGTAAGTGTCTAACAATGGCGGACCGAAGGGGAGGCTCCCCCTCCCCCCGAGAATGGGTCACGAAATTTTTGAAATTCTCTTACTGGGTTATAAAAATGTGCAAATGACTTGTTTGTTCTTGGAAATAATAAAATTATCTTTTAAAATTTTTTAAGAATTCGAATTAGCCTTGTAAAAGAATTTTTTGGAGGCGTGGCTGCTGACACGCACCCTTTTCCTATAATTTAGGGGTATGGGTCAGCAAAAAATGTTAAGAAGCAGCCCAAAAAATTGTCGGAGTGACCAACGCCACACACCTTCACTTGAAAATTTGGTAGTCCCCCCCCCCCTCCCCGACGGAAATCCTGCGCCCGTCACTGGTAACTAAATACTTGGCTAAACTTCCTCTGGAAAAAGTTCTCGGTGAGATTATCCATCTACCTCGTAAATCCACCGAAACCCCTTTTTAAATGGTATTTTCAAGCGGCTATGATATCCTGATTAACGTGCGGAATTACCCCACGAAGCCATGTTTCATTTAATCCCGTGATTTTGGGTAGTCTACCGTATCTCTTCTCCGCTATGCACCGCTGTAGTGAAAAACGCGCAATGTGATCGTAATCAACACACCGCGCAACACCAGTGAGCCAATTAATGAATCTGTTATGTGACTTTGGCTTTCACCATCCTACAGTAACCCTGCTCTATCTCTCCGCGGTGAAAAATGATTATCATATCCGAATTAGCACAGCGAATAACCACGCCAGACCAAGTTTCAGTCATCTGCTTGAATCTCGCCCAACTACCGTATCCCCACCGTAACCTCGTTATTTGGGCGAATGGTGAAAAATGAACGTCATAGTCGTAATCAGCGTCCGATAACCCCCGGAACCAAAATTTTACAAAATTTCAAATTTTTGTGTTCAACGGTGCACCATGATACCCCCATCGTGCTTCATGAAACTCAGAAAATCTACCCCAGAGGACCTTTTGGCTGCACCTCTTCATTTGCACACTATTTCTCTTCCCCTAACCAAACTAGGAGTTAGCTCCGAGTTTCGCGCGAGTCTGAAACGCGCACCAAACCAGAGTTAACGCGCAGCTCAGCTGGAACGAGTTACGCTACGTTTCCATAGTTGGCATAAAGTACGTCTTGCGGGGTACCCGGCCATATCACCCTTTCCCCAGTTTGGTTTGTTTATGCAGGCGTTAATGGTACTTGAAAGGTACCTGTTAACTCAGAGTTAACTCTGAGTTAACACGCAGCTTGGGGCGCCATCAAAAACGTAAATCTTGCCGATTTTATCCCCCAAGACTTCACGAATCAGGAAAAAAAATCATGTTTTTGAAAGAGGAGAAAGGGCTGCATCGAATAACATCCGAGTTGCTGCCGGTTGATGTTCTATGAGGTTTAAGTTGACCATGTATGGCATTTGGTAGGACCAAAAGAATAATTCTGAGAATTTTTGGAAGTAAGTCATAGAAGGGGCAGAAATTGTTTTGCATCTTATAAGGTTTGCTCTATTCATCGTTTACTTGCACTTCTTCTAGGAATCAGACAAGAATTTAGAAAAATAGCGGAACTTGACTATAAAAACCATGGGTCGCAGTTTTTGGTAATTTTCTGAGTGTCCATTTGTAGAGCTCCAGTATCCAATATAGAAATAACCATTTGAAAGAGCGTGAAATTCTGCATCGAGTGCTACCAAAATCTTTTGATGATGCTTGTTCTTCGAGTTGTGGCATTCACGCAAAAAAAGCGAGTATATTTTCGGTACGACCCAGTATGTATAGATTGGCTCTATAATGTTAATTAATTAAATTGTGCGTTCCTTCTTGATGTTACATTTTTCATCTCTTTGTTGTTTTCAGCAGATAGCAAAAGCTATCATCGATAAAAAAGAGTTGAATTTGCGAAAGGATATCTTCGGAAACGTCAGTCCTCATAGCCTTCATCAGATGAAAAGTTGAGTCAGATAGGTTAAGAGTTATGTACTAAGTGTCATATGCTTCGCCATGATCTTCTGTCTCTTGGTTATATTTTTATTTGCTATTGCATGCACATATTTCCGTGCAGACACCGAGGTAAATTTTTCAAGTAATATTATACACATCGTGAACGATAGCATGTGTCAGCCGCTAGCTGACCGCCGTACGTGATGCGCTGAACTGGTTAGTTAGGTTAATGAAGAAGCCTTATACATCTAAATCCCTTGTACATCTAAATTTTACTTCCGCTTTCACACTTTAGAAGTGCCTAGTAGATATTAAGTGGGAGAGGAAAGTTCTTGTCATGGCATCGCAACAGGCCGAACCTTAAAAATGTGTGTTGGGTACCGTTCGATAAGGAAAAGCATGCTCTACAAAATGATTTTACTGCCTTTGCACCAAGTTTGAAACATGTAAAATTCGAAGACGAAATCTAAAAAGTTTCAAGTACCAAAAAATCAAAAGTCGTATTTCCGTTCAAAAAATTTCTGCGGACCCTCAACTTGCTCACGGACATACCTTCATCAAATATTTATATGCGCTGTCGCTGCAATTTTTTCTTGGCTAGATATCGACAAATTGAATATTTTCATGCTTCTTCCCGAGGCTGCTCCAGCGTAAGTAATTCTATACTACTTAGCTTGAGAAATACAATTATAGATTTTCGGCCTTCTACAAGGATTCGAGAAGAATCAAATTTGAATATATCGAGTGTCCCAAAAAATGTGCACACTGTTTGATTGTAAATAACTCTCTTGTAATTAAGTGTTTCGAGAAACTTTAGGTAATACCATTTTGTAGAGCGAGGTTCAACTTAGATTTACAGTGTAGAGCGAATCGCCGACCCCTCATGCTTACTGTAGGATTACGGTAGAAACTTTGAAGAGGGTTTTGAGCCATGAAAAGCCATATTTTGTTCCAAAAAGGAACCAAAACAACCTGAAAACTCTGACACTAGGTTAATTAGAGTTGCTGATTCTAAATGTGAAGTTCGCAACTTTTCGTAATGCTTCATTTAAAAATTATGCGAGGTGAGCAATAGCGGCCTTTTTTTCGATTTCTCAAAAGTGCGATTACACCATTCAGAAAGCTTCGCCTTGTAAACAGTTGGATATTGAACTCAGCGTTCATGAAAAGCCTATTACACAAGTTTCTACATTTTTTGAAAATTTTTAAAACTGCCGGTTTTTTCACAGTGACACATATGTTTGAAGTTTCTACCGTAATGCTACAATAAGAATGAGAGATCGGCGATTCGCTCTACACTGTAAATCTAATTTGAACCTCGCTCTACAAAATGGCATCTAAAGTTTCTCAAAACACTTAATTACAAGAGAGTTACTTACAATCAAACAGTGTGCACATTTTTTGGGACACCCTGTATAAAACAGAAGAAAAATTCGATATTTTGGAAATATTCCTCTCATTTCTTTTCATAGTTCTTTTTCTCTATCTAATACAATTCTTTAGGATCGAAGTGCCGGACACCTCTTTTGACTCGTGTCACATTTTTGTTTGCAATAGGTGTATCCATAAGTCTTGCACTGAAATTCATGATACATGTATAAGTTTATAATATCTAAGATTCTGCAGAGCGAAAAGATAAAGCTTAAAAAATGCAGGTCTCATAAAAATCCGCTAAGATTCCAACTATTCATCCTTCTAAATCCAGGAAGCAACTGTAGGCAAACAAAAGAATAGGCTCTTGCCATTATCATTATGAATGCGTCGTCTGCACACACATACGGGCATCCATGCAACAGCGTGGAAGCAGGAATGATCTATCAACCAACGCAATTGCGGAGTACAATACATAGGAGAGACTGGCAGATCAATGTGGTACAAGCATCTGATACAGGTCCATCAATGCATAATATTGCCGCTTTAGAAGAAATTACTCAAGTCTGAGGTAATTTCATGATCTGAAACAATCCACGATTGTAAATGAAAAAAAATGGCCTTTCCCTACCAATATTAAGTGCACTGTGACACACTCAGGGACCATCATACTTCGCCGAAAAGAGCTCAAAAGCACCCAAAAAGCCTAAAAAGCTCAAAAGCCCCAGAAAGAGCCGGAAAGCTTTCTTTCGTTCGCTAATTTTGGCGCTAGGGCGAGTGCGTTGATTTTGCAACCAAGTCTTTTTGCTTCATTTTCTGTCGTCTGCACATCAAAATAATGTTAGATTCTGAATAGTCAACGCGTAATACAAGCGAAGGAAAACACAATGTCATGAAAGATAAAAGCACATACCATGGTTCAGAAAGCACGCTTCGGCAAATAAACCAGCGGAAACATCGGAGAGTTGCCTGAAGGAGGATAGAGATGAGTGAAAAAAACTTCCTAACATTGTGTGTTGACTACATATAAATTTGTTGAGCATACTATTTCGAACGATAAAACAGAATTTATAAACAATCAACACATCCTGCAAGCGAAGATAAACACAGTGTCAGGAGACGACATACAGACAGAGTACAACAGAAAAAATAATAAGGACTGGCTTGCGAAGACAACATGCAAATAAACACAAACACATGAATAAGCGCACTGATAAAACTTCCTGAAAGCTGACGTTTCGATCTGTAATAAGCGATGGCAATCTTCTATTGCAAAATCGAATTATCCGTCATGAAGCATCATTATCTATGTACGCAAGTAAAGAGTCCACCTTTCACATCTCCGCATCTATCGGTTAAAAAATTTTTTTTTGTATCTTCTACCGGGATTCGCATTGATTTGCGCTCTCAAACACGTTACTCATAAATGAAATGATTATTTCTTGGTTTAAATCTCATTCGCATAATCGAATGGTTCCCACGAAAGAAATTGGATTTCTTTACGCCTTTCTAGAAGACTGCTCGAATGCAAGCTTACACCCTGAAAGTCTCGTACCTGAATGTGGCGCCGATTTTTCCTTACGTTGAGTTTGCTTTAGACCTAACAGTAGCTTTTCCTTGCGAATAAGTCCGTCTGCTGCAATGAAAATCAACAGCTCACTCTTGGATAAAAGGTCTACTCTGTTAACACATTGACGACCGCTTGACACACCAAGTGTGTCAAGCAATGACTACCATATGGGACCGCTTGACACACATGGTGTGTCAAGGCTTGAACTTCGTTAAAATGATGGTACAAACTCATTCCAGAAATTTTCTTTTGCAGTGAATCTAGAAATGACCTCCGTTTTCTTTGTCAGCCTTCCACAGCTACTGTGGGTATATTGTAGATAGCAGTATGCGTGATTTTGTCTGAAAAATGCTAACTGGTCCTAAAAATTTGCGTTGTCGTCAACGTGTTAAAAAGCGAAGCGGCTAGACATGTGATAATAGTTTCGTTTTTTGCATGCATCTCTCAGCCCTGCTTTGGCTGCAAGATATCAACAAATGCATAACAATACCTGTACGAATATTTGTTTTCTGTAATGATTCTCGGGAAGCAACAACTTTTGTTATTTTTTAGACAATGCCCAGCGACTCATCCATGTATTTCGCCATGATAGCTTTCATATTTTGCTTATGCATAGAGTTTCTGGGTAATTTTATCTTAGTTGATAGTGTACTATCTCTACATGACGGACTGGAACAACTTCCAAAACAGATAAACGTGACCTCTAAAGGTGGGAGTTCAGTCACGCATAATAATGATGTTTCCTTATGTTTCAGATATAGGCAGTTTTGTGTCAGCATTTGGTGAAAATCTCCATTGTAACTTCGACAATGATGAACGACTACTGCGTGCGGAGACGGAACAAACAATAGCCAACATCAAAAGCTTGGCACAGTCATTATGTTCACAGCTTGACACGAGCCTCATTGATTCCGTACGGATAGTATTCATCCAAAAGCATAACAAGTCTATCATTTTCAGATAGTTGTGAAAGAGCAGTTGTTGCGAACGAACATGAATAAATGGAAAAATTCTTTGAACGGGTTCGTTGGTGAGATGAATGTAGGCAATAAATTAAGTGAAGTTGTAAGTGTCCTTGAGAATGGTAAAAGAAGGATTCGCTAAAAATCACAGAAACTCTAGGACCAAGTTCTGAATGCAAAGTGCGGTATTATAAAACACGATCTAGAGGAAACGCGCAATGTCATGACTGACCTTTGTAGTGAAGTAAGTCGGATCCATTAAGTAGTTTTTGCAGCTAAATGATTGTCACGTCCATTCTTTTGATTCTTTCTTCTACCTCAATATCGATCCTGCTGCTGTACCCTAGTGTGCTTTTTATTCAACAATAAGAAGTGAACTGTAGATGAACCTAAATAGTACTTCTCCTACAGATCAAATCATCTTTCAATGAAACTGATAAACATCATGAAGCAATTGTATCTGAGCTGTCGCTATACAAAGACATTATTGATGGGGTAAGTACTAGTGAATTTTCCAGTGAGTGAGTGCCAACAAAGGGTTGCAAAACCTTGAACCTCTTTACAGTTGCAGCCCTAAACAAAATTTCAGATGTTAATGAAGATTAACACTGAAGCAAATCTATTTCGAGTGAAAACCTACACAATTTTGGAACAAGAAGTTAGTTTTATCTTTACTTAAAATGCCGGCCTTTGGTAAAGCTCGGCTTAGATGATCCGAACTAAACGCCTCGGTACGTACGGTTAAGGTAGACTTACGGGGGGCGCCGATTACTTGTGGGTCTCAATTCAAAATTGTCGCGACGCGGCGTTATAGTAACCGTGGTACATGCACATTCTTAAAATGACGGTTTCTCACGCGGGTAGTCGCCGAATTCCAGAAAAAGTGCTGTGAGCCACTGGGTATTGTAATGAACAGAGCTTGTAATTGAAAACATCGAGAATGAGTAAGAATCTTTACTATCTTTTATCAAACGATCACTGCTTCATTTATTTGCTTATAAAGAAACTGTTGCGTGATGTTCGCTTGGCAGTTGCGTTATTTAAACTTTTTGGAAATTTACTCTCGCAAGTTTTGTGGCCCGAACTTCATAAAAATGGCGAAAACAAAATGGAGATCGAAAAACCTTGAGAAATGATGTAGAACTATGCGTTGCGAGCTCTGCTTGTCGATTTTTCTGGGCAGATGTACAATGTGCAGGGCACCGACAGTCTTTCGCGCGGCGTCTGGTAGTTGTCTGTTAGAACTCACAAGTAATGGGATACACACTAGACTTACGAGCGTCCACTCCCTATGCTACGTTTAAGAATGCAGCCTGACCCGAAAGTCCGCTCAGGTGCCACGCTCATCTTATCTTATATATAAAGCTGAATGTCTGTTCTTATGTATGCATGTCTGTCTGTATGTATGTCTGTCTGTCTGTCTGTCTGTACGTATGTTCCGAATAGAAAATTTCATTTCTGAACCGATCCGGACCAAACTTGGCACACATCGCTACGGGCCCCGGCGGGTGTCATAGGCTACTTTTCGTCATCGATCATATCGATTTTATCGATTTTTATCGATTTTTTTGCTGAGTTCACCTACGGGGCTGGGAGTTGGCACAGGGGGGGTAATCGAGCATGGGGATTCCGAATACAATATTGGTTTTCAGGATTATCGATTACTTTTATCGATTTTATCGATTTTTTGCAAAGTTTGAGCTACGGGGCTGGGAGTTGGCACAGAGGGGTAATCGAGCATGGGGATTCCGAATACAATATTAATTTTCGGGATTATCGATTACTTTTATCGATTTTATCGATTTTTTTGCAAAGTTTGAGCTAGGGGGCTGGGAGTTGGCACAGGGAAGGGGGGTGATCAGCATGCTCGATTACCCCCCCCCCTGTGCCAACTCCCAGCCCCCTAGCTCAAACTTTGCAAAAAAATCGATAAAATCGATAAAAGTAATGGACGATCTTGAAAACTAATAATGTATTCGTAATCTGCATGCTCGATTACCCCCCTGTGCAAAATCCCAGCCTCGCATGTCAAAATTTACAAAAAATCGATAAAGTCAATAAAAGTAATCGATAATTCTGAAAACTAATATTGTATTCGGAATCCCCATGCTCACTTCCCCCTGTGCCAACTCCTAGCCCTGTAAGTGAACTCTGCAAAAAATCGATAAAAATCGGTAAAATCGACATCGATCGATAACGAAAAGTGGACTGTGACACCCGCCGGGGCCCGAAGTGTATGTGTGCCAAGTGTGGTCCGGATACGGCGGAGCCGGGTAAGCCAGCTAGTCTGAAATAAGAGCAACATCTCTATTGAGATAATCTTACGGAAATTGCAGACGATGATGCCCAGATAAAAATCACGTGACCTGCTCGTGAGTAAACTACGAGATAGTTGATGTGACATAGTGCACACGACAGTGCGCGAAGATACCCAATTTGGAGGGAGTTAGAAGGATCAATGAGCAGCTGTTCGCAACCATGAAAAAAGAAAAACAACTTTTATTCTTTTTTGCCGGGTTTGCTGCAAGCTTTGAAAATGCACCAAATAAGATTTTGTATATCCGACTCCTTCAAATTCTGTTCCACAAATTTTCATTCTCAAAAGAGATGCATGCCAGAATATTTTTTTTCATATTTATGTAAAGTACATTGTACAAGCGATGTGTTACTATCCTACTATAATAACGCGCTAAGAGTGTTTACGTGTTTTTGTGTGTCTGTCTGTCTGAATGTCTGTCTGTCACGAAATTCGTAGAGCGTGTTCCAGCCAACGCCCTGAGCTCAAATTTTACATAGCACCTGCTACTGGCATGAAAGTCCGACATGCAAAAGCATAAGCAGATTCGTTGAGTGGCTCTCTTAGAAACTGCGCATCAAACGGATCCACTATGCAGTTGACCCACAAAATTGGGTCCGTACTTTCACTTTTTGCAGAGTGGTGGATGTTTATGGCAAGTAAATGTGTAAGCCATGGACAAAAAAGTGATGAAAAATCCAAAACCATCTTGTCTTGTCTTCCGCTTTTAGAGAACATATAGTTTGCCTGGAGTCTGTTGAAAAAGTGCCTGGGTAAAGAGTGTGGGTAGTGATTTCTGAATATTTACGAGTTTTTAGGATAGAAAAATCCGTAACTTCTGAAGACGAAAATCTACGCTGGGATAGTCACCATTGAAATCGCCTCGTTTTCTGCTTTCAGATATACACTTTGTCTGAGGCCCGTTGAAAAAAGTGCCTGGGTGAAGGGTGTCCTAGTGATTTCTGAAGATTTTCGAGTTTTTAACATAGAAAAATTCATAACTTTTTCAGATGAACATCTTGTACGCCGGTATAGTAACCGCTGGAACCGTCTCGTCCTCCGCTTTCAGAAAATATATGCTTTGCCTGGGGTCTGTTGGAAAAAGTGCCGGGTGAAGGGTGGGTGAGACTTTTATAATGAGAGTGCTCAAGTATACATCTTTGATAATGGTGAAAAAGCCTGTATTTGAGCACTCCCATTATAAAAGTCTTACCCACCCTTCACCCAGCACTTTTTCTAACGGACCCCAGGCAAAGTATATATTTTCTGAAAGCGGAGGACAACACGGTTGCAATGGTGACCATCAAGGCGTAAAAGATGTTCATCTACGAAAGTTATGAATTTTTTATGATTTATGATTTATGATTTATTTGCCTTTCATATTATTACAATATGAGGCACCCAAACAAACTGATCTCTTTTAACTCAGATTATCGCTGGGGGCAGGCGGGCACCGGAAAAATAGTTTGCTGATCTCTCGCACCCCGCTCGCGGATTTTTTGCAAAGCAATCAGGACTTTTCGGAAGACCGCTTGCTGAATTCTCGATTCCTCAGAGATTCAGCAATATATCTGCAAAAGATAAGAGCGAAAAAAATTCAACAGGCGGTCTCTCAAAAATCCGCTGACTCAGCGAGCGGTCTTCCGAAAAGTCCCGATTGCTTTGCAAAAAATCCACGAGCGGGGTGCGAGAAATCAGCAATCTATTTTTCCGGTGCCCGCCTGCCCCCCGCGATTATCTGAGAACGTGAGTGATCTTACTCTTTGCCAATTGCCAGTGCCAAGCTTTTTCTTTCTCTCCATCTCGTTAGGGCCAGCATATTGAGTTGTGTTATCTTCAGGGCTTCTTGCAGTTCATGTTGGTCTTCGTTAGGCACTCAGATAACCGCCGGGGGCAAGCGGCCATGCAAATTTTGAGCAAGCGCGCACCGGAAAAATAGTTCGTTGATTTTTTGCGGCCCGCTTGCAGAAATTTGGAAGAAAGTTGGCGGAATTAAAGACGAATGCTTGAAGAACAATCGTGGTTTCTTTATGGATTAGCTGCGGCGCAGTGGCCGCATTCTCGCGGATTTTCCGCGAGAATATGCAAAAATTTCGAGAGCCGCACGGTCCTTTGTGGAGGACCGCGCAACCCCCAGGTACTTTCCGCTGGGAGAAAGTACCCCAAACTTGGGTAATAAAACCATCGATGGTACCTCTGCCACCTAGAGTTTCATCTTTTCTCGGCGTACGCCCGAAACTGCATAAAAAGAGTTCGAGCGCTTGCTGAAAGTTTGACCAGCGCTCGCTGAAAGAATTTTTTTGCCGAGCGCTTGCAAAAAATGGTGTTTTGCTGCCCGCTGGCAGAATATACGACGTGCCGCCCGCTGAAGGTTTGGCCACGCCCCAAAATTCTGCTGACCGCCTGCAGAAAAGCGCGAGCTTGCGGACCGCCTGCCCCCGGCGTTTATCTGAGCAGGCGTCTCACGTTGAATTCGATGTGTGAACAGTCGTTGTTGGGGTGGAACATACTTGATCCTGCTGTTCCGGGGCTTCCTGGATCAAGGGGTTCGACGTCCGGTAGGGTGGGAAAGAGCGGTCAAAATGACCGACCAGTCGAGTGACGTGTAGAAGATGAACTTTTTTTATGTTAAAAATTCGAATATCTTCAAAAATCACCAAGCACACGCTTCACCCAGGCACTTTTTTGAATGGATTCGAGACATGCTATATATTTTTTGAAAGCGGAAGACGAGGCGGTTCCGACGATGACTATTTCCTTGCACCAGCTATTCATATGCAGTTGTCACGGATTTTTTTTATCCTAAAAACTCGAAAATTCCCAGAAATTACTAGGCACATCCTAAAGCACTTTTTTGAACGGATCTCAAACATGCTGTATATTTTCTGAAAGCGGAGAACAAGGTGGTTCTAATGATTACCTTTTCGCCGTGAAAGATGTTCGCCTATAAAAGTTATGAATTTTTTATGTCAAAAACTCGAAAACCTCCGAAAATCGCCACTCACATCCGTCACCAACAGGGTCAAGCAAGGGGTGTGGCACACGATCGCTGGTTACGACCCCCCCTGAACTATACACCTAATACAACATTACCAGAGTTGAGAAATACGCCCGATTTTCTGGGACTGCACTTTACTCACACGTAATTTGACTGCTGATTTTGATCTGAATGGACATATTGAAAGAGCCATAATTTTCTTATGGGTGGGGCGTTCGGCTCCAAATTTCCAGTGTAGCAAGAAGAAGCTTTGTGCTCAATACTCATACCAGCAATGGAGCGCTTTCTGGATTTTGAAGGCAAGTTAAGGGGGTGTGCCGCACCCCATTAACTATATCAAAAAAACATTCTTAGCGGACAGTATTTATATGAATCAATAGCCTAAACCTTGTAGATTCCATAGGACTGTTTGGAGCCTGATTCGTCTTCTTAGCTCTGAGTAATATCTGGTGAAAGCACAGCGATCAAAAGCGGAAAATGGGAAAAACGAGATTTTGGTTGGCTTCTAATTCCACAGTTTTTCTTCTAAAGCGGGATTCCTGAGGTGGACAAAGAAGGAGTAGTGCTTTGTCTTGAGTGCAAAAACGGATAGCTAATTCACCTTTGAAACAAAGTCAACCATCTTGGAATTTGACCATTTCATTTAGGTTGCCTAGTATCTTGAATCTTCAGAATTCGCTCACACTTTGTCTACAGGGGTTAATTGACATGCTAATTATGGATATGATACGAATATCATGTTATCATTATTATGAGGTTACCCAACTACGACCCCCTCCCCTTTTGACTCCTCAATGCGACCCCCCAGGTGTGGCGTGCCGCACCCCACGCTTGACCCTGGTCACCAAGCACTTTTTTCAACAGACTCCTCCTTTCCTATACATAAACAGTTCACGTACAAATATCTCCTTTGCTTAACCTACTTACTTACCTCACTGTTGATTTTTTCTCGGCTTTTGGTGAAGGGGGTCACCTTGGTCCCGGCTCAGGGGTGAAGAGGGGGTGAGAAAATTCTCACACTATCGCACCTGTGCGATAAACTATCCATCCACCTTCTAACCGACTATATAGAAAGGTCCAACTCCCTATAAAAATAGCAGCATCAACCAAACCGAAGATCAAGCTAGTGCAAAATGATCTGGCGGGTTGCAGGTCGTTGATGTTAAAATGAACAGCCTTTTGGTAAATTTTTGGATTTTAGATTCCAAAGCGCTTTTCTTGCACGCTAGAGCTCAGTCCGGAGCAAGGAGCAAGGCGCATTTTTCCATGTATCATTATGAATTCAGAACTATGTTGGTAAACTTGGTCTCAGCCTCTTAATCACTATTCTGCTTCCATCCGTCCTTATAATTTTTTCACTGATAGGTTTATTTTTCCTACTTGTGAGGTGAGCATGGCGCTGCTTGTGATGCTATTACAAATCGATGATTTCTTTGCAGGTACTTAGCTGACTGCTTCAAGGAGTCCGGCGAGCAGAAATATGCGATGCGAGGGTGGCCATCTCGTCTGGGGGCATGCACACTGGGCTTTGGTGGTTACATAGCTTTGACAATTGCGATTGTCTCAATTATTCTTTTAGTGTAAGCGCTCCGTAGTCATTCATATCTTAAACAAGGCGTACCTTTCTATTTTAGCGTTTACTTCATTCTTGCTTTTACTTCCATGTATATCTGCGTAGGTCTATTTGAAGACGAGGAACTGCGTGTCTTATTTGCCCTTCCTAAGCAGGAAATCCGCATTAAAATTGCCACGAGGAACATAACACTAACACTGCAGTAAGCCTTCTATTGATTTCATGCTTATATTACTACAGTTCAACTTTGCTTGCTGTAACGGGTAATGAAGGCAAAAATTTTTTTGATATGTGCTTATTCAGTGATACACTGTACAAATGTAGGAATGAATACAGTTTCTTTGATGCTATAAATGGTGAACAGATATGGGCCAAAAAAGAGCTCAAAAGCGTAGGTTGCCCTTCGATGCGCAATACGAATACTAAAGATTATGATGCATTTTCTTTACCACATTATAGAAGCTGTCGGCATTGCGTAAAACTAGTTTTCGAAGAACAATTCGTAATTTTCAAATCAACGAAACACTGACAGAGAATCTAGAAGCCCTGTTCCTGCAATTAGAGGTACGTGCTCAAGATGCCAGTGTGAGTGATGAATTGTCAGAACCCTATTTTCACGCGTATAGGACGCGGGGGAATTTTTTTCTAAAATCGAACGGCACAGAAACGCCGAAGGATTTCGCGACCAAAAAACTTTTTGCAGTGCTGCATCCTGAGAGTATCGTGGGCATTATTATCGTTTTCCGAAACACAAGAAGGCGACTGAGCGGCACGCTCGAAAAACCAAAAAAGGTGCGCCTTATACGCGTGATAGGGTATTATTACCGCGAATGCATTTGGCAGTGTATGCGCTGTTGAGTCCTATGATGTGGCGGATCGAGACACAAGATCACATGTTAAGACTTATGGTTGATACAAGGTACCAACGCAGCATGTCGTATGGCATAGGGGGGGGGGGGGGCATAATTGGGTGAAGTTGCTTTATCTACCCTACATGTTTTCTAGCCTTTCATTTTCCGCCTATGCCCTGATGTGCGGATATGCCTCTGTAGCCAATCTGGGTTCTGAGTTGTCCAAATGACATTGGTTGAAGGCAAGTTTAGAACTAGAATACGTTAAGTGTTGAGTTTCTAAGTGTCGTAGACGACTGCAAAACCTTCTATCCAATCAGTTTTCACTTACATCAAAATTCAAAATTATAATTTTTTGGCCACAATTAAGGGCACCTAGAATATTCCCATAGTGTAACTAAGCAGAAATATCTATTAGGTTGTGTAATAAGTTCGTTCGCATTTTTTGTTTCAATTTTTTCTCGGTGTTTTACAAGACATTTGGCATAATGTTAGTATGCATTCGGAAGCTCTAAGTCTACTCTACCAAACTGTTATCATTATATTCACAGTTTATAAAAAGTTGAATAAAAAAATCGACTACAAACCGAAAAATCTGAAATGGCGAAAATCCCATTTTCGACAACTATATTATGCCGCACCTTGAATGGGTTTGAGCGCTTGAGAAACAGCTCAAAAATTTTGCGACATGTATAAATAGAATACTATAGCTCCCGCAGATTACCTGTAGAGCTAAAATCTTTTAAAAACAATTCATATTGTAAGCTCAAACATAGGTATGTTTTTATGGCTTTTTTGGTGTCAACGTTAAGCATCTGAAGGCAGCTCTGAAGAAAGGTGGTAGCCGAACAATCCAGAAATTGGCAGACATGTGGTCTATGATCGCTAAATCATCGAATAAATGGCTTATATAGTCAAAAATTCAGAATTCGAGGGACACATAGCCCACGGACGCGAGACAACGAACACGCTGCGGCAAAGCCTTGCTACGCCGAGTTTTGCAAAAAATTGCATTAAACGGTCGGTGAAAGGAAATGGGCAATCGTAAATAGTATCAGTAAATGCGTAAATTGTTAGTCATTTGTTTTTCTTCGTTATCAAGCTTTTTGAATGAATTTCAACAAAGAATAACGGGAAAACTAAGGAAGAAAAAAGATGTCGAAAATGGGATTTTTGCCACTTCAGATTTTTCGGTTTGTAGTAGAATTTTTTTCTTCAAGTTTTGAAAAACTGAGAATATACTGAGAGTATTTTGGTAGAGCAAACTTAGAGCTTTCGAACGCATACTAACACTACGCCAAATGTTTTGCAAAATATTGAGAAAAAATCAAAACAAAAAATGCGAACGAACTTATTACACAACCTAATATATGATGCAGAGAGTAAATCAAAATTATAGTCGTAGAAAGGCCACTTGCATAAGAATCTTCAAAGTATCAACACATCTGAGGTGATACTTTGAACAAAAACTTGTATATCAATATACTGCAAACTTGAGTTCTTCCACATGTGCAGGCTGTAGACAATTCGAGAATGATTCTCTTATTAACTTTATTTGCATTATTGTGCTGAATCTGACTAGCAAATATGATTGGCAGCAGTTAATAAAATTTTTTATCGAGTGAATTTTTGATTAACAATTCGCGGCAATCAGCCCTACCGAGTGAACGCTGGAAGAAAGTTTACATGCATTAAATTAGTCTCAGTCGCACTAGCCTTCATATCTCGTCAAGCCGGAGCAGGGATAGTTTTGTTGCAAATGTATTCTTATCGGAAAAAGCTCATCCTTCCCTACATTGACGAGAGATGTGAACAAACTGCGAATTTTGAAAAATTTCAAGAATGTATAGTCGTCCTCACCCCACTAGTCGGTTCAGTGGACGATCTAGAATTCAATCTGGAGCATGCCGGTCGCGGCAGAGCGCGGCACGCGAACCCTCAGTTCAAAACTACGCATATTTCTTTTTAGTTTTTTCACATCGTTGCTTGTTAATTTATGTACTATGCCAATGTTTCTAATCGAATTTGCTTTCTGTTATTGTTGAGTGTTGTTTCGCGCAATTACGCTCAGTTTTTGTTTAGGTGATTTTGATTTAGCTTCTAGAAACGATGCACATTTTGGAGATTGGATAGATTAGCAAATTTTTGTGCATTGATCACTAAAACAAGACTTCTGCACGTTACTTACGAAAGAAAAAGCTTTACAGCAGAGGTTTCCTATCTGTACTTGTATCTTTCACTACTTGTATTCAGACTTGAAGTAACGATCATAGCAGCAAAACAATGCTCGACAACATTAAAATAGTGTTTTGAAAACGAACATACTTATAACACATACTTATACTTAACAAACAACTACAGTGAAAAAACCATAAAGAAACATGCGCAAAACCTGAACTGATGGTTCAGGTGTCGCGCTCTGCCACCACTGGCTTGCTCTTGTTCGAATTCGAATCGTCCACTGACCGACTAGTGGGGTGAGGACGACTATAATACGAGTGTACAAATCACTTAGGCATTGTTCATACCTCGAGCAATTCGACCAAATCGCGGTGGCCACGCGATCTGCAGATTCGGAGGGAGTGGACTGGCAAAATGGACCTCCCTGATTTTGGTGGTGTTAGGTAGCAGACCCCCCCCCCCAAAATACATCATGCGCCAAATAAATACTAATCGTAAAATAAGTTCTGTGGCCGAATTCATCAACGAACCAAATGGGTTCCGGAACCCATTGAATTCGCGAACTCAATGGGTTCCGGAGGTTCGCGAACCCACTAGGTAAGATCGGTATTCAAAGTGCCTCGCTGGGTTCGCCAACCCATGACGCTCAGTTGGTGTACTATTTTCCTCATTTTCCCATGCACAAAAATTGCGCTAAACTAGAAGCGTCAGCACGCTTGAAACGCTTTCGAGAACTCTTATGTTTGGGTGAATGCCATCAATCAATTTCTTTTGTGCGACGAAGCTTGCATTTCCTTATCCTTGTTCTTTATTTGAGTACTAGCTTGCTTACCCGGCTCCGCTCGGCTCTCTCAAAACATTGTAATAAGGGTCCCATCCCTATCCCTGTACGGGCCGTGTGCCCACTTCTACACTTCATTTCCCGTTCCCTGTGTTGTTTTCGAAATCAGCCATGCCCAAGTACCCCCCACCCCTATGCTAATTCCCAGCCCTTCAACTCAAATTTTGAAAAAATCGACAAAATCGGTCAAAGTAAAGTGTAATACCAGAAACTAATATTGTATTCGTGATCAGTATGCTCGACTACTTGATAGCTGATAGCTTTGATAGCTCAAACTTTGCAAAAAATCGATAAAATCGACAAAAGTAATCGATAATTTTAAAAACTAATATTGTATTCGAAATCGCTATGGCCACTTACCCCCCTGTGCCGACTCCCAGCCTCGTAGGTGAACTCTGCAAAAAATCGATAAAACTCGATTGAATCGAGACCGATCGATGACGAAATAGCCTATGACACGCTCCCCGCCCCGATGTGTATGCGTGCCAAGTTTGGTCCAAATCGGCTCAGAAATAAAAATTTCTATTCCGCACATACGTACATACATACATATAGGCTGCTGCCTGACGAAAGCGCAATATCTTTGGGCGCGAACGCGGCTTTAATAACCGTAGAGCGCATGAGGCGCAGGATTTGCAACGGTGAGGATACGCGTGCGTCGCGTTCGCGCCCGCTCAGCTAATACTGCTGCTGCGCCTTCGTCATACAGCAGCCTTTATATACATACATACATACAAACACACATTCAGCTCTATACATAAGAAGATTTCAGCTTTATATATAAGATGGATGACTTACCCTGGGACCGCTTCAAAACCGCATTCTCGTGATCCTGAGGTAAACAAGAGCTTCACCGCCCTCCTTTACATGAATATGGGAAAATACTTGATCAAACATGTAAGCCTTCAATTCCTCAAAAAAAAACGTACCCTCGATATCATCCCATATGTCTTCCCTCAACATGACGTGGATTACGTGGCTTGATGAGGCGCCGCCTCGCCTCGTCCTCGCGCCACGTTGCGAGCGCATCATTTGGCGCGACGTGGCGCTCAACACAACGTGGCGCAGGCTTTTTCACGTTCTTCTTGTTGCCACATCACGCCGAAGATGCGCACGCAACGTGGCGCAAGCCCGAGGCGAGGCGGCGCCTCATCAAGCCACGTAATCCACGTCATGTTGAGGGAAGACATATGGGATGATATCGAGGGTAAGCAAATCAGTAAATCGATAAAAGGACCCAATGAATCGCCGCGAAAAGTAGCCTTTCATCTGCGTAGGGGTCGAAAACATATGTGTGCAAAGTTTCAACCAAATCGGAGTTGCGCGCGTTTTTATAACGCACATACCCTCCAAACTAACAATTTTGAGTTTTATAAATATATATATTCTCTTGCACCCAGACATGAATGTCGACTTTAAGAGATGCAAAAAAGGGCTTTACGCTTTTTTGTGCAGGTGATCTTTCTTGTAGCATTGTCCTCAGCACATGAGCAGAATATTAGCCATACTTTTGAAAACTGCTCGACATAGCTGACATATAGAACCTACGTGATTTGAAATGATTGTCATGGTGCAATGAGTTTTTTATTTTATGGATGCTTTTGTTATACATAACAAGTATATGTATGCCTTTCAAACGGAATCCTCACCGTGACAAAGTGGCATTCGCAGGGGTGGTGTTTTTTGTTTGAGCGGTTCCACTTGGTTTGAGCGGAGGGATTGAATTTGGTGAACAAGTAAAATAGCCGTTATGAAGAATGCCCAAATTATCCCTTTGTATTTCACGGCGAAGGCCCTTGAAGGGTAGGATAAGTACGTTTTCCTTAGATTGAAACGTGCAAAGGGAATCGTTGTACAGAGTTCTCTCTATCATGCAAATTAATAACTAAAAGGACTAACTGATTACTACTTGTTCCCCTCCCATTCTCACTCCACAAAATCAAGGAACGAAGATTTGGATTAAAAACTTTTTCCGCTTCTTTGAAGCGTTCTGCTGACTTAATCGGATTGAGAACTTTTCTTATCAATCTGCGGAATGAACGAACATGACAAACATGAACAAACATGGACAACCAAATACGTAACATGAATGCAGGCAGCGCTCTGCTTCCTATATGGGGCTCCCTCTTTACCCATAGCATTATTTGAAAAATTCCGAGATAGTATGCACAAACATCGGAAAATGCATAGGCTTTCACGTTTTTACCAAAAATGTCCGCAAAAGCTTGTTTGCGACTTTTCAAAGATTGCTAAATTGTGATTGGCATCGTTTGCTAGTCCTCCATCTCAGTGGAATATCTTATCAAAATATTCAACAAAATTCCTGTCAGTCATAGAAAATATGGAAAGTGTTATTAACGTATATTATATGTGTTGCTAGTGGTAACCGTCCCTGCTTATATAAATCCACACAATATTTAGCAAAAGGACTGGGTTCGCATGTAACCCAGTCCCATGTAACCCACTGAGGTGCTTGGATTCGCCAACCCAACGCTCAATGGGTTCCGGCGCCCACGAAAACTGGGTAGCTTGTTTCTCGAATGCCGGCATGTTTGACTTTTGTGTTCGCAAACCCACTGGGTTTTTTGTGGGTTCTGGAACCCACTAGGTAGGCCTAACCCACTGGGTTCCGGAACCCACTAGTTTCGTGAATACCGGTTTTGTGGTTGGGCCTACCCAATGGATTCTGGAACCCACTGGGTTCCCCAATGGGTTCTGGAACCCACTGGGTTTGTTGATGAGTACGGCTACTGGGGGGGGGGGGGACTTTTCATACGATTGGGGACTTCACACCTAGCCTTCGCACCTACCTCACACCTACATCGCACCTCTCCATCCACGTAAGGCGCAAGATTCTCCACTACGCCTAGGTGATGGGGGGAGGGGGACTTTTCATACGAACGCTCTCCGATCACTTTGACCTTATAGCGTATGCTAGGGTGCTGGTAATACGTCCAGTTATCGATCACAATGGACTAAAATGAAACGTTTATTATCAAAAATGCGTAAACTAAAGAATATCTTGATTTTATCCGTTGTATAAAGCTTATCGGGTTGAAATAGCGTATCATAGTAAAGGTCGTCAGGCCACAGCGAATCCATTTTCGCAAACAACTGGCACAATTGTGGTAATAAATAGTTCGCTTTATCGAGTCGCATGCCCTTCAATGGGTGTCAAGAGGCGCGATTCCTATTGCCAGATGGACAGCATATAGCACATATTTAGTGTTTTATGAAGTTCTAGAATTACTTGAAATTTCGAAAGAAATATATTAGGGAGTTTAGGGATTGTTCAATCTCATCATCTTGAAATCGATATCAAACAAAATTGCTAAAGGTCAAAAACACACAAAAATACAGTTAAAAGCAATTTTGTAAATATTTCTGTCAATTTTCTAGCAAAAGTCGTCAAACTTATCAAGTGGTTACTCCATACAGCTAGTAAGCCAATGAACTTTGCCCGGCACTTTTTGAATTTTCCCATAGCGTGAAAAAAAAAGAAACTGAAGTTTTAAGTTGATGTGATGACACCCAGAAAAACCGCGCCTCTTGACCGTCTTCCCCTTCCAATATCCCCTATGGGAAGAGTAACACTTCCAGGTTATGCTGAAAGGTCGGAGAGGCATGTGACAATACTCAAATCAGTTCAAAACGTTTGCAAAAGAGACCGAATTATGTCAACTTGAATACTAAAAAATTCGTAAGTGGAACGATCATAGGGTTATTTTTCACAGCAAAACACTCTTTAAATCCATACAGTATTCAAGTTTTTTAAATTTATCCAAATTCGCGGTACTGCGAATGCTAATCTAGATGTTTTTTTTTGAAATGGAGCCAGCAGGCCCAAACCGGGCGTGGTGCCAGTTTTTACTGGATCTTTGCCAAAAGATGATGTGGAGGCATTCGTATAAAAAGTCCCCCTCCCCCCCTCTACAGTATACTAGACACGGAGGTGCGAGACTTGACACTTAGCCGTAGGTGTTCATACCTCGCACCTCGGAATTGCTCATCTTATGAAAAGTCACTCACCCCGGCTACTGAAATACGCTCTAAAACTCCACCGGCCCCGTCACCCAATGTAAGTGGGCGGGGGGGGGGTCAGTGGAGTTTTGAGCGCATTTAAGGCTAATGCATGAATTGGCACATGGGGTTGGGGCTAAACTGTACTTGAGGGTCTACTGCTTGACACCACCAAAATCAGAAAGGGGTCCGTTTTGCCAATCCATTTCCAACCAATCCAAAGCGCTCAAACTTCAAATATGTAGGCGAATAGCTTTTGTAAGTGATGTAATGATGTAACAACCTTATGCAATTCTTCTTTATCAATATGCAGTAATCGTTTACGTGTCTGAAAGTTTTTGTGTCAGAAGCACATAAATCTTATATACAATCTAGTGAATTGTCCACTTAATAACGTGCTTGCGGTAAATTACGACGTTTACGTGTGTACAAGTAGTTACGCCTGAAATGCCGACCATTACTATTTGTCACGTGTAAATTGGATAGCCTACTCTTGACACCGCGAGCACACTTATTAAGCGAAAACCTACAAGATTTCAATTGCACAAATGTACACAAGAGCTTGATTATACCTTACTCAGACTGAGACCAAAAAAGTAGTGCGGAATTATTGAGGTGTTGGGAGCTACGATTTAGTAGAACTAGCTGTACTTAGATAAGTATGGAGCAATATTTCACTCGCTTCGATACTGTATGATTACAGTGGCAAGTTCGAAAAGCTTTCTTAGCCCTTAGTAGTCGCCTTTCCTTCAGAAAGAAGATCAAAATGCCAAACATGAATGCGCCAGTTATTCTCAGACAGTCGACGGCATACCTCCGGAGCAGAAACGGCAGAGCCGCGGATTTCCCCAGCGGGGGATTGCCACTCGTGCTCCGGAGCCCTTCCATTTTGTGCTCCGGAGACCTCCCATTTATGCTTCGGAGTCCTCCCATTTTGTGCTCCGGAGGTGTCCCAAATCTGGCATACCTCCGTAGCGCAAATCTGTGCTCCGGGGCTCTCCCAAATCTGGCGTACCTTCGGAGCAGAGATTTGCAAGCCCGCCGGAGGGGTTCCATCTGCCTTCTTGTGACGTCACCGTGACGTCACAGAAAGGGACCGCCCCCTCTTCCCGCTCTCAATGGTCAATTGGGTCCTCCGCAGCTCTGCCAGATTTCGACTGTCCTCCGGAGCTACGGCACCGATTGTCTGAGTTGCTAATTTGAGTGTGAAGTTTGCACATCACGGTGATGTTCTTCCATAAATCATTCCAGGTAAACGTACTTTTTGCTTTTTGCTTTTTGGTGCTTTTTTAATACTCTTTATGTAATTCTATCACTAAAATGCTCGAAAATTGAGCTTGTAAAAAGTTGTGTTTCAAAATTAGCATGGAAAAACCGCTACTCACTTCTTCTAGAATTTTTTCATTGAGTGGCCTCTTTCTCAAGCTCTGTATGCTGAAACTGTAATCATACAGTAATGAAAAAAGATCGTTATTTTGACCGAACTATTAATCCAAGTTGAAGCAAGCTTCACAGAATGCTACCTGAAAATAGGTGAACGACGCTGAAACAAGTGGATTATCAGCGTGCAAACAGTGTGCACGTCTTCTGAGACGCCCTGTATATCCACACGCAGCTTCGAAAACACTACAACTAAGACAACTGATCAGCTTAACGTTGCTTGAATCGAAGAACCTTTTACTCAGTGTCGATATATTCAAAATCTTTTTAGCCCTGTCTCGGTAACATCACAAGTGCTTGCCGAAGCATTCAGCCCGGGACATCAGTTTCACGTAAGTTGAGTACCACATCATCTTTTCCCATCCATCATGCGAATCGCTGACGATCTATCTTGCATTATTTCGCGTTGTCTCTAAAATTGGTACGATGCTATCTACCAAAAAGGGTCACGATGTTAAATTGATCGATTACCACAGAGTGCACACCATTAATGAAAGCTTGGAACGCTGATTCTAAGTCTCCTATCTGCTAAGCTCTTTTGAAAAAGAAGTTGTGGGCAATATTTGAAGCGAACAAAATCAGCTTAGCTAACGGTCGGAGCAAAATCGATCGTTACTGCCTTTTAGACGTCGAATGGAGCAGTAGTGATTACTGAAATACTAGACAAAAGGAATTCGTTATGTGGAGCACTCTTGGGCTGCCGGTGCTTCATTTGGTTTAGAAAGCTGCAACGATTCGTTATTCCGAGCATTAGCCTGTTTTACCGCACCAGAAATGCTCACAGCTTCTCGCCCAGAAGGTAGATAGGGAAAGCAGAGTTAGTTAAAGTTCCAAGCTCTCGCTAATGGTGTGCATTTTGTGATAATCGGTAGCTTCGACTTCGCCTCCCTTGTTAGAAAAGAGTTGGGATTTTTTTTTGGCATGGCTTCTCCTAAGCCGACACCTAGCTAATTTCCATGATGTTTAGTAATAACACTAGACCTGAAAAATTCAATTTAGTACATTATTCACCTTAAAGACTGATTATTTTTTTACAGATTTCCTCTCAAGTGTTGACCAGGTCGAAACTGCTTTCATTCATGCTCCACAGTAACATACTGTTGTGGCGGCAGCATTAAACTACCTTTTGAATTTTAAGGGGAGTAAAAGAACGGAGAAGTGGAAGTACACCGTCGCGGTTAATATTTAGTTCCCAACTATTAACAAATCAACAACCATATTATGTATAGAAAGCGTAAAAACTTGTGCAAAAATTCCGTCATTTAAACAGGAAAGGATACCGAATCGCACTGGCGTTCAGCGAGGTGATCTACATCATTAAGATCCCTTCGAACACTGATAATGTGTCTGCTTTCTAAATCTGCGGGGTTTTGTAAATGCCATGCCCCTGGATTTAGAGATTTTGCTCTGTTTGCACTGTAGTCGGCCAGTAATGTTGCAACATCAAAATGCTGATAGCGCAGCTAGTAGAGCAGCTGCCTTCCCCATACGGCACCGGGTTCGAATCCTGTAAGTATCCTGTCGCAAATCTCCGCAATTCTGGAATCCTTTACACGACATTATCGATAGTTTCCGTATAACTACTTTCCGAAAGGCATTACTGCAGTGACGGTGCACCATTCACCGCTTTGCAAAATTGGAAAGCGTATATGCAGTGTCTAGAAGAGACCTTATAGATGTCATGCCTTTACTGGACGCCAATGCGTCTTAGTATCTTTCCCTTGTAAGGCACGTATGCACGTGTATCCTCGCGGGGAAGGGACGGGGATCTGGGGCGGGGGGGGGGGGGAGGAGGGGGGGGGGGGGAGGAGGGGGGGGGGGGACGCATCATATCTAGTTACTCTGATTATCTCTATTATTATCTATCATATGAAGCCACTTACCTTAAAGGCACCGTCCACCCAAACTGGGGTTGGTGAGATTATGATACCTAGCAGATGCGGGGCCCCCAACTGTATGATTGCCCAACTCGCGCTGCCTGAAGTTGCTTCCGAACCGAGAGAATTGCTTCGAAGCGCTTCAGGCCGCGTTCGCGACGCTGGCTCCTCCCCTTTCGAAGTGGGCGTGACGTTCGTCCCGCCCATCCGTCAAATCGCTCTGCGGGTTCTGAAAACGGGGGTTTTTCGTGGTTTTCGCGGATTTTCAACTTGATATTCGGAATCAGGGGTATGAGAAGGCCCTGAAACGGCAAAAACATGAAGGTCGAAATTTTGGGTGAACGGTGCCTTTAACGTCTGAGTATAATGTATGACGAAATATTGCCACACACGTTGAGTTTTTCCCTGTTTTGTATAATCTCTTAGGGAACCTTCAGGAGATTATCTCACAATCCCAGAGTCATTTATCATCCTGCAAAACCAATGAAAATGCTGTAAAATTCAACCGAAGATATAGTATGGCGCCGCTGAACATGTTTATAGTTCATACTAGTTGGCATGCCCAACTTCGCCGGCACCATGGTTTAACTGGCTCAATTAAGACCGAATTGGTACGTAACCTTAAAGGTTCAACTCTGCGTTTTAGCTTCCTTCTCTTTCTCTTGTAAAGCAGGGCAAAGTCTTGCTAAGCGCATCGCCGAGAATTGTTCAATCTTCCTCATAGTGGAATGAAAATGAGCTCTACCGCTTTTGTTTACACCAAAGTTGGAATTGGCCTGATAATACATGATAAGAGTTGGTTTTTCTTCAAAAACGATAGATCAATAGGTGTGGGATTGTCGCCGTGAAAAGTAGTAGGGGTGTACCGGTGTCGAAATTATACGCGTGCAAAATTTGGCGCTGATCGGTCCACACACAAAAATTTCCATTAAAAACACACTAACTAACAATTTACCAACCTTAGGTTTATATATGTTATATATGTACTAGCTGGCTTACCTGGCTCCGCCGTATCTTCCGAATAGAAAATTCCATTTCTCAACCGATCCAGACCAAACTTGGCACGCATACACTTCGGGCCCAGGCGGGTGTCACAGTCCACTTTTCGTTTCGATTGATGTCGATTTTATCACTTTTTTGCAAAATCTGAGCTAGGGGGCTGAAATTTGGCAGAGGGGTGTAATCGAGCATGCTGCATGCTCGATACACACAGACAGACATACAGACATACAGACATACAGACATACAGACATACAGACAGACAAACAGACATTCAGCTTTATATATAAGATATATTAGTAATATCTCAAAATGTCGAAACTTTAGCAAACCGCTGCTCTTGAGCTCAGGTTCATAATAAACTCACAACCTGCACAATCCATTTGTTTTGTCAAAAACATCCTTGGCAGTGGATTCGTACATCCTCAGTACAGCTTCATGAGTTTCGTCAACTTCGTAGAAATAGAGACGGCTTTTATAACAGGGGTTGTTCGCTGGAGATACCCTAACAGATCATATCTAAACGTATTTAAGTGCCATAGTATATTCCTTGGTGCAATTTTACCGCATTTTCACTAGTTCATAGGGAGGTGAATGGCTTTGAAAATGCGAGTGATCCCTTAGAATCCTCAGGGGATCACACGAAACAATGAAAATCTCAGCTACGACAATGTCCTGCCATACATTAACATTATAACCTTTGATTCAACTGGCTTGGCACCATTAGGGGTTTTGTAATCTAAATGAGGCCGCTCGCGCCCGCGACGCACATGCGTCTCTCTCGCGCGGTGCTCTCTGATCATTACCTAGCCTTAATTAGGTCACGAAGTCCCACCTTTGCCGATGCCAAGCCAGTTCAAATGGTACTCAGGTATTAGGGTATAGGAACCTTTGCAATATGGACAGAAAAGAATACAGGTATCAGTAGCATGATAATACGGCTCTCCTTCCAAATCCCTACACATTCGCAGCAGGATTGTACTTGCATACGGGCCTAAGCAAGATTTAGGGGATGATGCTTGATTTGGGGCTGCATGCATTAACATCCCCACCGAGGAGAGATCACAACTTACAAAGAAAGCTTTATATCCTGAAGCTCCAAACTTCTGGATTTCGCACTGTTTACCAATCCGTAAGTATTCCTACCATCCTTCACTATGAACATGTTGAACAGGAGCGAAAAGCTGTACAAGCCGCATTTTCTAGCATTTTGCATAATCCCCTGATGACTGCCAGCGCCCCGACCGTCCTTTCTTCAAAGTCACTCTGTGTTGAGGAACGATGGATATTTAGAACGATAAACCTCGAATACCAAGAGACCAATGTACTTGAATGCTGCCACGCGGGCTTACTCTTGATGTTGCGTACCTCAACTCAAACTTGGGTAATTAAACCGTTTATGAAGATAAGAGAAAAAACCGACAAAATAACAAACACAAAATAATATGAAGCTAAACTACATAACAAATACGAATTGAGTGAAAAAATGCTGAATGATACACAGGAAACTAATGAAAAGGATACACGAGGCACACAAATTGCAATAATACTTGTTTATCCTTTCCTGGTTAATACTTGAATTTTATACTTGATTTTAATGCTGATTTTGTAGGATTGTTTTCTTAAAAAATGGACAAAAAGAATGCAAAAAGTATTGCAATTCAACTCAGTAAATATGAGTCTACTGTAACACGGGTTTATATACTTTGACAAAAGATGTCACAGGAAGATATGATAGGAAAAAATGCAACTATGAAAAAAATGATACTTGTGAGCACGAAGCAGCTGCATAGGCGAAGAACTGTCTGCTATCGGTCGTTCCATCTGGAGTCGGCTCCGCGCGCTGATGTAAACAAAGGCATTCTGAAAGAAAAGCTTGGCGAAAAATAATAATGAAGTATTGGATCAATACGTACTTGAGTAATCCTTGATTGGAGTCGTGTTCACGACACTGGCGGCGACGAGTTATGGTCTTGGTGGTGTTGGATCCTGACGAAGAATCTGTTCTACTTGATTCTTGAGGTCGCCCCTTTGCTTTTCCATTCTCTCTATGTCTTGTTCGACTTCGAGATAGTGGCCCATGATCCTCTGGATTCGTTGTTGGAGTTTATTTTCCGCGTTGGGTATGGGACATAGAGCCTTGTGATGATCTTCGTCTTTGGGACAATATTCCTCCGACACGGTCCCCGAGACTTTCTCGCAGTAGTAACACGGACGAAAGGGATTTCTGCACCGGCCGCCGTGTCCAAGCAGGCATCTATGACACAATCCCTCTTCCAAAGCGAGGTTGTACCTTTCGTCTCCATCTGTAATGACGTAGCAGGAATCTGAAAAGTGTCGACCCCGCGTCTTACAAAAGGCGCAGGTTATGTTCACTGGGATTTTTTCAGGGGCGTCTAGCAGAATGCGTCGCGGGAGTACTTGGATAGCCCTCTCTACTTCGTTGACCTCTTCTTCCCTTGCTCGATTTTCCTCCCGCGCTACTTGGATGCGGGCTTCCAATTCTTGGATGTGATTCTGCAACTCTTGAAGCTCGTTTTGACCCTTTCTTGGTATCTTGTCTCGATCTTCAACGTCAACTTGATCGTGAGGCCTCTGTTCTTGGACCTGTACTCTCTTCATGTCTTCCTCCGCTTGCTCGATGACGACGTTCCCTCTGAGTATGGATTCGTCTAATGATTGGATACTTGGTTCGCCGAGTTCTTGGGGCGTCTCTCCGGCTTCCCGTAGTAGCTGGTCGAGGTATCCGTCATCGTCCAGAATTGCTTCCTGTCTGTGCCTAGCACTGTTTTCCTCCCCGACTTCGTCTTCGTCAATCACCATGAGTTCCTCCTCTAGTTCCATCTCTTCCTCCTCATCGTCCACAAGTCTTGGGAGATCCTGGACTCGTGATTCTTCCTTTCTCTCTGGAAGTTGCTGGTTCTTACTTGTTTCAGGAGGATTAGGAGGTGCCTCCTCTGTACCCATCTCCAGCCTTGCTCTTTTGGCCTTGATAGAGAAGAGCTCCCACTCGGCTTCTCGGAGTTGTTCTTTCAGACGACTAATCGTGAGTTGGTCGCGTTGTGCTCTATGGAAGTCCTCGTTTCTTGTCTGGAGAAATGCTACCACGACTCTCTCTTCTTTTTCTAACTTTTCTATGATCTTGTTCATTTTTTTCATTTGTCCTTTCATGTCCATGCACAGGATGTCGTCTAGCCACACCCTTTCCCGACTTTCCTGCTCTAGTTCTATACGCCGGAACTTTTCCATCCATTTGGCCGTCAAAATCAAGCGAGTACACAGCTTGAGGTAGCTGTCTCTCGCTGCTCCCGCCGCGCGAATTAGACGGGAAATCGTGACGATTTTCTCTGTATCCGCGAACTTGAACCATTCCAGTTTGAGGTGATTCCATTCTTCGTTGATAGTCATTGCGACATTTACTTGATTTTGCATCTCTTCTAGTGTTTTCCCAAGGTCTTCTTCCAACATTGGTATTGTTATTGTGACTCTTGGTGCGATCTTGTCCGTTAGGTATGCAAGCTCTTCCATGTGTGACATCTTGCTGAAATAAAATTGGTATTCTACTTCTTGTTTCTTGTATACTTTTTTCCTACTTTTTTAATCTATTTTCTATCGGAGATCTTGATTAAAAAAGGGGAAGTTTTTTAATTGTGTTGTCTATTGCTGCGTCTAATTTTGAAGAAGTTCTTGTATTTTGGTATTACAGGTTTCAATTGCCCCTATTCCTTCTTCTAGTCTTCGATGACTCTCCCTTATGATGTGCGGCGATGTCTCTTGGTCAGGAAATTTAATTGTTTCTAGTTGCTCGGACTTGAATCGCGCGATCACTGTCTCCAATTTCGTACAGTATTTCGATAGCAGACGCTTGTATGTCGAGAGTTGCGCTGTCATTGCGGTTGATGCACTAACAAAGATCTGACGCGCGATAAGCTTGGTGCGGATGGAATGAGTGACTGAGTGGTTTGTTATATAATTGATCGATAATTAGCACTGTGAGCTAATGCTTCCGAAATGGTTGATCAATTGTAAATTCAACTTGTATTACAGCAATAGATGCAAATTGACTTGATTGCGCAGAGGAGCGTGCTAATGTGTCAAAATGCCGAATGATTGCTGAATTTGGGCTTGTTTAGCAGAAATATGCGTTGAAACTGCAGTAGGAGAGCGAATACAGTTCAACTTGTATCAAGAAATTGTTACTAAACTTGTGTAACCAACCTCTTGATTTGATCCGGTCCGAAGATTGCCGATGCACCAGTTGTGTTGAGGAACGATGGATATTTAGAACGATAAACCTCGAATACCAAGAGACCAATGTACTTGAATGCTGCCACGCGGGCTTACTCTTGATGTTGCGTACCTCAACTCAAACTTGGGTAATTAAACCGTTTATGAAGATAAGAGAAAAAACCGACAAAATAACAAACACAAAATAATATGAAGCTAAACTACATAACAAATACGAATTGAGTGGAAAAATGCTGAATGATACACAGGAAACTAATGAAAAGGATACACGAGGCACACAAATTGCAATAATACTTGTTTATCCTTTCCTGGTTAATACTTGAATTTTATACTTGATTTTAATGCTGATTTTGTAGGATTGTCTTCTTAAAAAATGGACAAAAAGAATGTAAAAAGTACTGCAATTCAACTCAGTAAATATGAGTCTACTGTAACACGGGTTTATATACTTTGACAAAAGATGTCACAGGAAGATATGATAGGAAAAAATGCAACTATGAAAAAAATGATACTTGTGAGCACGAAGCAGCTGCATAGGCGAAGAACTGTCTGCTATCGGTCGTTCCATCTGGAGTCGGCTCCGCGCGCTGATGTAAACAAAGGCATTCTGAAAGAAAAGCCTGGCGAAAAATAATAATGAAGTATTGGATCAATACGTACTTGAGTAATCCTTGATTGGAGTCGTGTTCACGACACTCTTCTTTCTTCAAAGTTAGCGAATCATTCAAAAGTTGTACTGTTCATCTAGCCCAACAGTGCTGAGCGTTGCTGTTAAGAACAAATGGTGTATTGCAGTCATAAAATTTGCGATGAACTACAAGTTGCATGTTGGGGTTTGGCGAAAAATTCGATTTTTCAAAAACTCATCTGTTTTATCAGTTACATGTTTAGCACCGTTGCGTCAAATGTTCAGTACACTTTCGAAGGTTTTCACTGCGAAGAAGGAAAAGTGACTTTGAAGAAAAGACGTTTGGCCGCCGGGGATCATCAGGGGATCATACAAAAAGCTGGAAAATGCGGCGTGTACAGCTTCTCGCTCCTTTTCAATAGTTCAAACTGAAGGAAGGCAGAAATACTTATGGGTAGGTATACAGCGTGAAATCCAGATATCTGAACCTTCGGATTATGAAACTTTCTTTGTAAGCTGTGATCCCCTCCCTGGCGGGGATGTTAATGCATGCGGCCCTTGAAAAAAAACCTTGGTTTTCATCCATACATTAGGTCGGTGCAAAAGTTTTGTCAGTTTTTTCAACCCATCGGCAAATACGCTGGAATGAAGATAAACAAACACATCGAAATGTGTCCAATGCAGAATTTCTTCCTCTTTCCAGTGCTAAACATCCACTATGTTCCGATAAGAGAGTGATGAGATATTTGCTGGAGATTGCAAGCATTCGTTTTTACCATGTCCAAGTTTCACTAATTTTCAAAATTTTTGTCTGAGGTTTTCGGAGGAGCCCTAATAACCACCAGATAGGGCAAACTTTTTGCCAACTTGTGCAATTTTTTTCCTTTTTTCAGCTACTTTTTCAGATTTTTGCTAAATAATTTTCTAAAAGTACTGTATTTTGGAAAAATCGCATAACTTGTTATTGCACCAAACACTGCAATACCTGCAGAATACCGAGGTTTCAACACTCGATTATTACTACTACTACCATTACAAAGTAAGTGAGCGATTTTCGCTCCAAATTATGAAGATTTGGAAACCTAGGTTACGTCAGTGCACACTCCTGAAATTGAGAAATCCTGCAATTTTCCCCAAAAATTTTGCCTGTCTCGGTAAAAAAGACAAGTGTTAGAAGGAGGAGAAAAAGTTGCGTTGAATGGTGACTGAATTGTTCAACATTTTATGTTCCACGAGGTTAAAATAGGCTTAATGTAAAATTTGGTCACCTCAAAAAATAAATCGTAGAAATTCTGAAAGACAAGCCGTAGGGCTACAAAAAATTGCTTCTGGTGGCAAAAGGTTTGCCCTATCCGCTGGTTATTAGGGCTTCCCCGAAAGTCTCATACAACAATTTTGAAAATTAGCGAAATTTGGACATGGTAAATACGAGTGGTTGTAATTTCCAGCAAATTTCTCGTCACTCTCGCAGCGAAACGCAATGGAAGTTTAGCAGCTGGAAAGAGGAAGAAATTCTGCACTGAATACATTTCGAAATGTTTGTTTATCTTCATTCTAGCGTGTTTGCTAATGAGTTGAAAAAACTGACAAAACTTTTGCACCGACCTAATACATACACAACAAATTTTAAATTATTAGAAACTAGATGGCGTCCCCGGTCCGCCCGGTAATTGGACTACTTGACACTAACGCGTTGAGACTTACCGCCCTTCTTCATATCTGCGACGAAAATGTGAAAAGATGTGTGTATGTTTATGTCTTCTTGCTGACTTAAAATACCGGATCCTTGGTAAATGAACTTTATGCCCGACTTAAATGGCAATGAGGAAATCCTACATCCATCAAATGCTGATCCTACAATGGTTGGTGAACCCTCGATGTAAGTAAATAAATCAATAAATCGATTAGAGCCCAACAGATCGTCGCAGAAAGTAGCCTATGTTGTGCGCGGTGCCTTATTTATAAGGAGAAGAATGTTGGCCTCATCGATTCGCACACAAAAGAGCCTATAAGCCACATACTTACTAACAAACGAATTTATAGAGTTTCAATTTTTTATATATATCATCTATGCTGTGACTGAACCATCGTTTAGAAAATCAAAAACTCTATTTTGAAAACCTGTTCAGGAAATATGCAGGATGACTGTGCTTCGCTGACGAAAAACCTTGCCGAATTTGTGGACAACATTAAGCAAGCTTTCCAGATGGTGGGTGAATGCGATTTCGTCATGCCGTGTCAGATACGAATGACAAAACTATTAGCTGGAAACTAAATTTTGCAAATACTTCCAAACTCAATTCTCTTTGGATGTGGCGCACTCAAGCTTTGGCAATATGTAGAGCGTAATGTGTGCTACGACTGCGCACAAACTGTTCAAATTTTGACAACTATCAGAATTCCAGACATTCCTCGAAAACTGGTGAATTTTGAGGGCTTTCGGGTTATAAGCCAAAATGATGCCGTTAGCAGCCTAGACCATGCACAATAATCGGGAATCGTATATGATTTGTTGCTAAAGATGACTCATTCGGCTCATTGAGAGAGAAATAAAATTTGGGGCAAGTCGAGATTTGGCGCCCTCACAAAATTGAACGAGTTGCTGAACGTAAGGCTGCTGGGGACAAATGGTCAGAAGTCGAAGAGGCCGATCGAAACAATCTGTATACCATTCGATGCAGCATAGAACGCTAACTCGAAATCTGTCTTCCTTGCCTGCAGAACGCCTTTGTAGACAAGGTTATGAGCAGAGGTGGATAAATTGCGAATTAAGCCTATTATTGCTCATTTGGCTCACTATGGGCCATACTAAGTAACCTAGCTGCATGTTTTAGTCGAGCATTAAGGAGAACATGGCTCTGTACGGCCAAATTTGCCCTTTGCATGCACCATTTTTTAAACAAAATAACGGCCTTTAATGGCTTATAGCTTCGTCCACGAACGAAAGCGTTCTAGATAAGAAAGGCAAGCTTAGAGTCAGCGTTTCATGCTGCATCGCATGTAGCTCGTTTGGATTGGCCACTTTTCTGGTTGCTCAAAATCTTTTCAGTAGCCGTTGTCGTACATGAAGTCTTCTTCGGTAGCAACTTGATATAAATTTCTCCATTAACTATCATAATCAACTTCTTTCTTTTTGCAACGCTGTATGTAGCAGACCTTCTTTACCAGCTTTCGATTGGTACTTTCATTCGAAGTAAGCGCTGACTTGAGCCAGTGCAGAAGGATGGAAGCGCATGCTGTGGTCACCGGTTTTTCTACAGTAGTTTTCAAGCCACTGTTTGCTCAGTGGACAAACTCGAATTCGAACAGGAGCAGTCCGGTCACGGCAGAGCGCGACACCTGAACCCTCAATTCAAAGTTTGGCACACGTTTCTTCATTGTTTTTCATTGTAAATGGTTTTTGACCCTTTTGTAATAAGTATGTTAGTCATCAGCATTGACTTTTTGTTATGCTAACACTCAGATAATCGCAGGCGGCCATGCCCTTTATGGGCGGGCGGACACTGGAAAAATAGGTTGCTGATTTCTTGCGGTCGCTTGCAGATATTTGGAAGAATTTTAGCGAAATTTTAGACGAGTGCTTGGTAAGCAATCGCAATTTCCTTTAGATTAGCTGCGGCGCAGTGGCCGCATTCTCGCGGACTTTCCGCGAGAATATGCAAAATTTTCGAGGGCCGCACGGTTCTTTGTGGAGGACCGCGCTGCCCCCAGGTACTTTTCGGTGAAAGAAAGTACCTCAAACTTGAGTAATTAATCCAACGGTGAACCTCTGCCACACAGAGTCTTACCTGTGCTCGACGTATGCCCGAAACCGCGTAAAAAGAGTCCGAGCGCCTGCTGAAAGTTCGGCCAGCGTCTGCTGAAAGAGATTATTTGACGAGCGCCTGCAGAAAATTCTGTGTTGCTGCCCGCTAGCAGAGCATTAGACAGTAAAGGAAGTACCGCTCGCTGAAGGTTTGGCCACGCCCCAGAATGCTGCCGACCGCTTGCAGAAAAGCGCGAGTTTGCGGACCACCTGCCCCGGCGATTATCTGAGCAAGATGGTTAGAAATCGAAAGGGCCATCTCAAGCAAGCTACATACCATTAGGTGCAGCATGAAACGCAGACTCTGAATCCGTCATCCCTATTTGCTGAACGATTTTGGAGATGGAATTATAAGCCGTTGAAGGCCATTATTTTGCTAAGAAATTGTGCGTGTAAAGGGCGAACTCGGCCGTACAGAGCCATTCTCGGGTCAGTGTTGGACCAAAACATGCAACTAGGTCTCTTCATATGGCCCGTCTTAAAGGTGAGCTGAAAGCTCAATAGTGTGCATCACATTTTTTGTGCACGATTTTTTCGCAGTAAAGTTGCTCATAATTCCGCGTGTAAGGGCATTCTGCAGATATGGAAAACACTTTTGAAACCAGCGTTCTATTCCGCATCGAGTAATGTGCAGCTTGTTTTGATCGGTCACTTCGACTTCTAACCGTTTTTTGAAAGCTCGTTACTTCAAGTCTGAATAGAGGGGAGGCCCAGAGAAACAATACAGATGAGAAATTTCCGCTTTGAGTTCTTGTAAGCAACAGCAGACTGATGATTAACGTCACAAAAATTTGCCAGCTGCATCGTTTCTAGAAGCCTAAATAGAACACTTGTAAAAATATGATGCGTCTGCGCGAAACAGCACCCACCAATAATAAAACGCCAATTTTGATTGTAAACATTTCCACTAAATGAATTAGCAAGAAACGGTTTGAAAAACGGATAACAAACATGCGTAAATTTCAATTGAGGATTCATGTGCAGCGCTCTGCCGCGAACGGCCCGCTTCAGTTCAAATTTTTCCACTGAGAATGAGAGCGACTAGTGGGGTGAGGACGATCATATCACTACGTCAAGTCATATGCGCATTTACCAGCTGCGGCAGTACTGGGGAAACTTGCTACAATTCTTATTGCTTAGGTCAAGCAAAGCGAAGCTGATTTTGTGGTGCGTAAGCTTCCAATTTTCAGCTTTCCTTACTGAGCTCCAGAAGTCGCAGAGATAAGTTTGCAAAAGAAGTTAGTGATTTAATGGTGCAGCTTGAAGACAAAATTGTGCTGAGAGTTGCAAATCTCTTGGTGAGTAGGAATGGCTCCAGGTCGTTTACTTATAGAGCTTTTGAAAAATCGTGACGATGGCGCGACCGCGCGCGACACGCACGCCACTTCCGGAAACCGCATTTTCTTTATTTTCATCTCTCTGAGTGATTTTTTTACTTACGTAGATGATATTCAAACATGGGAAGTGACTGAGCTGAATATTGAGGTGATGCTTTCTTGCAAAAGCGCTTTATGCTTTTGTGGGAGCAAAGTCCGCAGTAAAATCCGTTGTCACGACTTTATAAGTGAACTATACCTAAATTCTAGCGAAGTAGACTATAGATAGTAACTAGCAACATAGAATATCATTTATACTCAGCTCCCCTAAAAATACCCGCCGTCCTGCTTCAGAAGAGTATGAATGACTTGTCGCCACAATGCAAAGCATTGCTATCCATATGGGATGATTTTGGTTTTTATGTATGCAAGATTGTGGCTACTCCAGCTCAAGGATTATGGGTGGCTTGTGGTAAGCTGTCCAGATATAGTTGGAACTCTAGCAGAGGAGTATATAAAATGCTGATTCTAGCCGTGACAGCGATTGGAGCATTGGCCGTCTACTCGGCATTATTCAAGGCAACAGCATTTTTGAAGAGATTCGAAGAAGATTCTGAGGTAATCAAAGGACATGCATTAATTAAACTGGATTAATGTATATCATACCGTCAATGGTTTAAGACTGTCGCTGTCAAAATCCCACCACTTTTAATGACTGTGCCTTTTAGAGGCAGCGTCCCACCAGACTGAGGGGTACCTGGATCTGGTAGTAATGTAGTAGTAGACCCCTGACTAAGCACAACAGAAGTTTGCAGCGCGAAAAAGGGATTTACAAAGCTTACAAATCCTCCTCCCTTCCCTATTGGCTCGGATCTTACGCTAGGGCTCCGGTGAATACAAGATGCATGCAAAGTAAAGACGCAGAGTCGTTGCGGGACCCTACGCTCATGACTGTGTGCGCTATGCGTGCTCTGGCCTTGCAGTTCGAAATCGCGGTGTGGGCGTGATTCGGGCCTATCGTAAGACCCGGACTACTTTGAGCAAATTTCAGGCACGATAGACCACCTTTTTCGCTCCGAACTTCAGTCATCGCTTAGGTAGGGGATCTAGAACATTGCCACAAAAACCCGGCACCAATCTTTTTGCCGAGACGCTGCCTTTAAGGAAGACAATCAAATTGCTAGTAGTTGTAATATGGTACATTATCCTTGAAGCATATTCGACATCTTAGCATTTTTGGGAGTTGATGCATGAATAGGGTTGGACATAAAATCCGGCATAGTGTGTCAGTCCTAACAATGAGCAGGAAGTGTTACAAGCTAACGGCGCGGTTTTAACCTAAGTTAGCAAATTAAGGGCAGTAATTCAGCAGATTCACTTCCCTCCCCCAGCTCCCCTTGAACGGTCGGCTGTTCTGTGGCTGTGGCATATATCTCAGAAGAAGAATAGAAGAATCCGGAGAAGGATAGGAGAGAAGCATCCGGTGGAAGAAGCCGTGGCTGGCCCACCGTATGGCATCCATTGAAGTCAAGAAGAGCAGAATTCAGAGACGCCGAGAGCAGATTCAAGTATGTTTTTTGAATATCCGTTCGTTGTCATCGGAGGAAAGACTGACAGCGCTTGAAGAAGAATTAAAATTGATAAAATTTGATTTTGTTGGCCTTTGCGAAACACGCCGCAGCGGCAACTTCCATGCAAAGCGCATGTCTTCTGGATTACACTTTTACAACAGCGGGCGAACGGGAGGAGAAGTTACTCGCAGGGGAGTTGGGGCACTTGTGAATAAGTGATTACATCGACATTGCGCAGGCGTAAAGTTCCTCTCCGACTGTTTACTACAAATTCATTTCGTTCTGCGCGGAAAATCGTTACGAGTAACTGTAGCATACGCCCCTTGGCAAGAGGAAGAATACGAAGAATTTCTCGATGAGTTCCACAGCGCGATATCACAAGGGCGTTATGCACACGACATTTTGATTGGCGATTTTAACGCACGTGTAGGAGGAGAAAGAATGCGATCTGAGTTCGTGGGTCAGAAATGCTACGGATCACGAAACAGCAAAGGGCAGGCGTTAGTGGAATTTGCGGAATCGGAAAGGTTTTATATAATGAATACCTTTTTCCAAAAGCCTGAAAGGAGACGGTGGACTTGGCGCTCTCCTAATGGAAGTGTTTTAGAAGAGATCGACTGTGTACTGACGCGCCAACCACGGGTCATAACTAATGTTGCTATTCTGAATAGGTTTAACGCGGGGAGCGATCACCGTCTTATTCGAGCCGATGTGAATCTTCGCACGACACGCTTCCATCTCCGTTCTCGTCAACTGCCTCCAGACTATAATGAGATAAAAATGAAAGCGGCATTGCTTAGTGATAAACGGATTACCAAACTTTCATCCTCAACACTCACTACGACTGACCCGGTTAACTCTTGGCAACAACTGTGTAAATCTATCCGGGATGCTGCTGATTTTGCCAAAGTTTCTTGAAAGCCGCTGGAACGAATCTCTAACCGAACTCGATCTCTTCTTCTTCTAGGACGTGAACTGAAGTATGGATTGAGGCAGACGAACGCTGTAAACGCTCATGTTGATTACGTAACTGTTTGCAAGACTGCGCGATGGTCAATAAAGGACGATCTTTATCGGCATCACTGTTCCGTCTTAAAACGAGCCATCGAACGCAATCGTATTAAACGCAGCCGTCTCGAGCTTATCCGTCAACATGAAGTCGTATGTCAATTGCGGAGGCCAGATGGGACTATGACCAGCACTTCCACAGAAGCTCAATCACTTGCTAATACCTTTTTCGCTGAACTCTACGCGGCCCGCGGGACCACGCTTCCATTCCACAGCCAACGAACTATTACTCATCCTATCAGCGCCGATGAACTAAGGAAAACAGCTTCAAAGATTAGAGGAAACACTGCTCCAGGAATTGACGGCATTCGTTCTAAAGCGGCGAAGTATGGTGTGAAAGTTGTTGCACCCCAACTTGCAAATATTATCAATCGAATGTTCGAAGACAATCACATTCCTACCAACTTCGCCCATGCCTCCTTGATACTGCTTCACAAAAGCGGTGACCGCCATGATATTAACAACTATCGACCGATTTCTCTCTTACCCACAATCTACAGTCTTGACGAGAGCACTGGCCTATCGAGTCGAAGAAAAAGTGTGCAAATATCTGGCTATTGAGCAAGCTGGGTTTCGACAGCGTTTATTAACCACTGACCATTTACAAACTATCAATCAACTCATTGAGAAAACGCATGTATACCATCTACCCATCGCATTCCTTTTTCTCGACTTTCAGAAAGCGTTCGATACCGTCGAGTTCGACTCAATCTGGAGAGCTTTTGCCCATTATGGAGTTGATACCAACACAATAACAATGATACGACTCTTGTATCAAGCAGCTACGGCATCGCTTCAATCTGATGAAACCAATGCTCCATTCAAAATACAGAGAGGAGTTCGCCAAGGGGATGCTCTATCGCCGCTTATCTTCATCACGTGCCTTCAATTCGATTGATTCTGTCCACTGGGAAGATGGAGATGGCTATGATATCTGTGGAAAACAACTTCACTACCTTGCATTTGCGGATGACGTTGTGCTTATAAATCGTTGCCCAACTCGATTACAGTCAATGGCCGTGAAAATTCTTGAAGCTTGTCAGCAAATTGGGCTTCAAATGAATGAAAGAAAAACAAAATGGATGGGAGAGGACAGAGATCGCATTTGGAGAACTTCAACAATTACACTAAACGGCAACACCATCGAGCGCGTAGACTCGTTTGTCTATCTTGGTCAGCTACTGCAATGCCCGCGCGATCACGACAAAGAAATCTCTAGACGTATTGGGATGGCATGGAATGCTTTTGGCAAGATACGAAGATTTCTCACTAACAGAAACGTAGCTGTTTACCTAAAACGGCACTACTTTAACAGAATCATCCTTCCAACACTTCTGTATGGCTGTGAAACATGGGCAACCACTAGGAAGTCAATGCTGAAACTGCTTCGATGCCAAAGAGCAATGGAAAGGCTGATGCTTGGATTTCGACTGAAGGACTCCAAATCTTCAATTTGGATTCGTTCTATAACGAAGTTGAAGGATGTGGTAGCGGCGGCACGGAGAAGGAAGTGGCGGTTCGCTGGGAAAATCTATAGGATACAAGGTGAAGAAAGATGGACAAAAATTCTCACGCGCTGGACACCATCTGTCGGAAGACGCTTTGGTGATGGCAGACCAAGAACTAGATGGGAAGACGACATACGAAAGCACTGTAATGTCTTTGAATCTGCTCGTAAATGGCAAGAACTAGTTATGGATTCTCGTGAATGGAGGCGAACAGAACATGCATATATGGTCACATACTGATTAACGGAAGCCTCAGACAAAATCATCACGGTATTTATCACTAACATGTAGAACCGTTGAGTATGAATAAAAGATAAAGATAAAGAATTCAGCAGATTTGCGACTTCAATTATCCTCATCATTCTCATCTTGGATAATGCTGAGTTCAACATTGCCTGAAAGCTTTCAAAAATGACAACTGCTTTTGTGTCGCATTTTGCTGCATAATCAATGAATGAACGTTTGCGTAGCGATCGTTGTGAACTCTAAAAATTAATTTATAGGCGATTCGTTGCACGCAAAGACTGCGGACCTGTCGGCGTCTCCCTGATCAAGCGCTCTTTCGTTTCTGTCACCACCTGCTGTCTCTCTCAAGCATAGCTATTTTTGTCGGACGCAACGGCGCCCAGTCTTTGCGTGTTTTGAATTACCGATATCTTGCTAAACGATAAACAGTGGTACCACAATAGCTCTTAACAAGCACTCGGAGACAGCTAAGAGGGCAGAATTAGTAATACAGTTTAGAATGCGAGGCTGTCGGGGCCAACCAGCCAAATGCCGCCGAAATTGTTGAAGTACGTTGAATCATTTTGAATGATCATGTGTGGCATTGCACACACCGTCCATCTTTGACGTCTTCATCCTGAATTTTCAATCGCAAAAGCGCAAGAGACTTACCGATTATCATCGCTTATATCACTTTGAGGTGACTAGTACTTACGAGGGAGAGTTCCCAAGTCAGCTCGGCCAACCCGGATGAGTCATATATCACCGTAACGGGCTTGAAACGCTGATTCCAAATCTGCTTTCCTTTTCTGCGGAGCGACTTTCCGAGAGAAGTTATGAGCGTTTAAAAATCCAAATTTGTCATGATTTAAGTGGCTTAAAATTGGCAAAACTTTTACAATAACACATAAAAGTGATTTATCAGTTTTGTATCAAGTATATTGAATACAATGACGGAATACAGATCTTGAAATTTCGTTAAGTGTTGTTTTACAGGTTTCAAGTGATTTTAAGCTACTTTGAACATGACAAATTCAGACATTTAAACGCTCATAACTTCTCTCGGAAACTCGCTTTGCAGAAAATGAAAGCAAATTTGGAATCAGCGTTTCAAGCCCGTTACGGTGATATATGACTCATTCGGGTTGGCCGAGCTGACTTGGAACTTTCCCTTGTTAGAAAGAGTAGAAAACATTGAAAAAACTTACTGAAGGGTTGTCGGCTTTAAGAATCCAGGATGGGGACGCCAAAAGTGGACAGTGTGTGCAATGACACGCATGATCATGAAATGATTCGACTATAGGTGTTTTCCCTTCGAACTCCAGGATTTACTGATACTATTCCAGTATACCGACCCCAGAAATTAAAAATCTCGGATTTTGCTCAAACTCTGTATAGGGGATTATTCGACCCGCTGATGCCAAATATCACACCGATTCCGTGCGATAGCGCCATTTTCCGGGGTTACGGTGGGTACACGGTAGGGGGTCAAAATCACAAAATTCTCCGAAACTCGGTGCAGATGGGTTATTTGACATGCTGAACACGAATACAATATCCATTCATTACGATAGCTCCTCATTCCGGGGTTACGGTGGGAATACGGTAGGAGGTCTAGGCAACAAAATTCGGTGTAGGGCGATTCGCACGACCATAGTTTTCCATACAGGACCACCGCCGCGCGTGACGCACCCTGCGGAGGCTTTTGCCTATAGGCAAAGCCGCCGCAGGGTCCTCCCCCTGCTTTGCTTATAAGCAAAGCAGGGGGAGGAAATCAGCGAAGTGCGCGACGTATTAAGACAAGACAAACTCAGGCGCTGGAGACCGCCCGTGCGGAAAGACCGTCTCCCACAAAATTCGCTGACGGTGCGGGGTGGTTATTTGACATGCTGATCACGAATATGACATCACTCGTCAATGTCTTAGATTTCAAGCCTTGAATCTCGAATTAGCGGTAGTATTGGTAATGTATAGCCACCGTAACTTTGAAGTGAGGAGCTACCGTAACGAATGGATATCGTATTCGTGTTCAGCATGTCAAATAACTATCTGCACCGAATTTCGAAGAATTTTGTGATTTTGACCTCCTACCATATACCCACCGTAACCCCGGAAAATGGCGCTATCGCACGGAATCGCCATGATACTCGGCATCAGCGGATCGAATAACCCCCTTATACCGAGCTTGAGCGAAATCTGCGATTTTTAATTTCTGGGGTCGGTATACTGGAATAGCGCCCATATACTCTCCCATGGAGTGCAAGCTCCACTCCCGCCCTCTCAGCAGTCTTCGCAACAGCAAATGCGTGTCTTTGACAATTTTGAAAAATGCATTGCATGATTTCAAACACTTAAAGGGTGCAAAACTCTAAGTATAAGTAGAAGTGAATCTGCTGAGCCACTACTTTTGAGCAAGCTTCTCCGACTCAAGGCTTGTTTCAACTTGCTGGACATCAACTGAAAAGTTTTCATGCTAAATGTTATTATCACCAGTGTTTAGGAAGAGGAAGTCGTGATTGGACAATCCTCATCAAGCAGAAGTCGAACCCATAAATCCTCGCATGATTCACGCGTGGGAGTGAGAAAGAGCGGATCTGAAGGGAGCGCAAAAAGACGATCGAGAAAATCAAAATCGAAGAAAGCAAGATCAAGGAAATCAAGATCGAGGAAGTCAAGATCAAGGAAGTCAAGGTCAAGGAAATCGAAATCTAAGAAACATTCTAAAAGTGCCAAGAAAGCTCAAGATATGAAGCCTAATCAAACATTGGGGGAGTCGCCGGTTAGCATACGTAAAATCAACGATGTCCGACTACCTACTTTGTTGCAGGCTGTTACACCTAAGCACCAACTGCGAGAAAGCGCTGGACGGGCGCCCTACAGTTTGGGATCACTATGATTAGACATTTTTGAATCAAAAAAGCATTTTTGAAATTATTCTTATCAGTCATATTGTCTTCAATGTCCACTTGTCGCATTTAATCGAAACTTGTAAAGAATGTCAATTAGATATTGTCTCAATTTTTGGCTCTTGCAAGTTTCACATATAGCAACCAACCCAAAATGCATCCTAAGCCATCACAAAATATAATTCAAGACTTTCGATTCTCCTGCATTATGTTCACTTATGTGTCATAACGAATAAACCAAGCGTAAGTGAATGGCAGATCCCATGGGGGTAGGGGAACGAAAGCCGCCAATTTGAGCCGCCTTTCGCGGCCAACTGGTCCTTTCGCAATGTTGTTGCATGCCGTCCCAGGACCAGCCGTCCGCGGAGGCGGCCCAAACTGGCGGCTTTCATTACCCTACCCGACTTTCGATTCTCCTGCATTATGTTCACTTATGTGTCATAACGAATAAACCAAGCGTAAGTGAATGGCAGATCCCATGGAACAGACAAATACTTGTTAGGCATCAGTCGCAGCATTTATTTTGCGGCACACCTAATTTACTCACAAGGAGTGGACACTTAGTCAAAGGCAAACTTGCAAATAAAATGATTATCTTTTTAGAGAACTTCAGATGCTACTCTTAGTTTTGTCTCTCTTACCTGTGGAGAGCCTTTTCAAGAAGAGCATGTTTACGTAGAAAGTATCTAGAAACTATCTGAATATCCGAGTTGGAATTAATTTTCAAAAGAGATTTTGACTCAAATGGTAATAGTATTAGTTGCCTGGACACTTTATACAATGCAACTTTTTGATGACTTTAACAAGACTTCTACAATGGGTCTGCAATTCATCGAATAGAAAGATGTTTCACTCGCTGCTAAGGACTTCATTTAAATGTGTATGTCTCACTGTTTGACTCAGAAAGTGGGGTCACATACGCTTGGACAACACGTATTGGACCTCATTTTCACATATGATGAGGATGCGTTGAGAGATATAAGTGTGGACACCCCCCCCCCCTTGGGAAGAGTGACCATGCTTCAGTGTGTTTTCGAGTGAATCACTATGAATCACAAGATACAGGGTATGTTATGTATAGGGATTTCAAACATATGGATCTTAATGGAGTAAGACAGCATCTTACTGGAGTAGACTGGTACGGTTCATTCAGAACTGTTTCCACAGTCAATGAGATGTATGAAATCTTTTTCAATATACTTTATCATACTATTGAGAGCTATGTACAGTCGCTTCATTTCTTATGATCATGTGTGTCTTGCACACAAAGTTCACCTTTGGCGTCCCCATCCTAGATTCGTGGGAGAAACAAGCCTTCAGGTAAGTGTTTCCAAGGTGTTCTTAGCATTTTCTTTCCTTTTTAGCTACTAGTCACCTCAAATTGATGTAATGGATAACAATCGGTAAGTCTCTTGCGTTTTTGCGATTGCAAATTCAGGATGAGGACGCCAAAGTGGACTGTGTGTGCAATGGCACATATGATCATATGAAATGAAGCGACTGTATGTTCCTTTGGCAGAGAGTTCTTTTCGGAGTGTAAAAATGCCTCATTACCTTCAAAGATTTTATCATATGAGAAAACAAGCATGGAGATTGGCAGCTACTAGTAAAAATACTAGTATGATAAATTTTGTGGATTGAATAACAAATTTACCAAACTGCTTAAAAAATATAATGTTTCTATTGAGAGAAGAGTAATTGAATCTGGAATGAGATCAGGGTTTTATAAATTGATCAATTCTAGACTCAAAGGTGGAAGAGAGCTGGGGGATTTGCAGAGAGATAGTGGTGAAGTTATATGCAATAATGGAGATAAAGCGGAATATTTTGCGGACTTTTTCGCTAAAACATTTGTTGAAGAGAACGATGAAAGTGAAATTCCAAATTACCAAGTATGACTGATGGAGTATGGTACAGGAATGAAGACATCTATCAAATACTGATGAAGTGGCCTAAGTCAACTTCTATAACACCTGATTTCGTACAATTACGTTTTATCAAATCAATAGCAGATATATTGAGTGGGCCGCTTCAATACATTTTCAATTTGAGCACGATGCGCGCAGAAATTCTTGATCGTTGGCATGTGTCTTTTGTCAGACCTAATTCTAAGAAACCTCTTACTAGTTCAGAAAACTATTGACCAGTTAGCATAACGTCTATTTTCGCTAGACTATTTGAGAAAATACTGAAAAAGCATATTTAAAGCATTTAGAGACTTATAAGGTGATAGCAAGTGAGCAACACGGGTTTCAAAACGGTAAACCTACTGTTACGGCTATGTTACAAGCGGTCAATGATTGGACAACACAATTAGATAAAGGTCAAAGTATTGACGTGATTTATTTAGATTTTACGAAAGCATTTGACAAAGTTCCTCACAGTAAGTTGATCTTTAAACTGTCGTTTCGTACAACTTTTTGTCTTTTTCCTGCAAGATGACAAGGCGTTTGGGCTAGTAGATCTCATATGTTACTCACTTATTACAGGCTCTGACGAAGGCGAGTTGGCCGAAACGTTAGCCTAATAAACGTTATACCAATCTTGGTGAAAGCTTAGACATTCTACAAAGGATCTTCAAACTTATAGCCGTAGGAATACATCCACGGATTTTAGCTTGGAATGAAGCTTTCTTGAGTGAGAGGACATTCGCGGTCCATGTCAATCGCACGTTTTCTTCCCCTAGAAGAATGCAGTGTGGGGTTCCACAGGGGGGTTGTTCTTTCGCCTATTTTCTTCAACATATTCACTCATGAGCTCCTGCGCATACCATTGTCTAAAGGAGTTTCTTGCAGCGCATTCGCGGATGATGTTAAGCTCTACAATGCTGCAAATGATGACGTTGAACGTAAACAATTACAAGATGCATTGGATGAGGTGCTTGATTGGTCACTAGTATGGGCTCTGCCCATTTTAAAAGGAAAAACAAAAGTACTACACTTAGGTTCCAATAATATAAGATACCTCTACCGTTTGGGAGGTAGCCCGCTTGCAGCTGTTGACTCAATTAGAGACTTGGGGTTTCTGGTCACAAGTATTCTTTCGTTTGATGAGCATTGTAAAGTAGCTGCAGACAAGGCTACGGTGGCAATTCACAATTTGTACAGAGGACTGTCACGCACAGATCCTAATATTCTTTTGGAGGCTTAAAAGACTTTTATTCGACCAATGTGTTGGAATATGGTACTGTTATTTATAGTCCACATACCCAAAAGGCAATCAACTATTTGGAGAAAGTACGAAACAGTTTCACAAGAAAGTTACTGATTAGGACGATTGGTTTCAATTATGATCAAATACCATCCAGTCAAGTCCATAATGCAAATCTTGGGCTCTCAAGTCTTGCTTATAGAAGAAAAAAATATCACGGTGCACAAAATAATATTTGGAACATACAAGTTCGATTTGAGGAACTTTTTTGTGACCAGATCCTCTAACACTAGAGGTGAACTTAGAAAGCTTGTGTTACCAAAGGCTAGGCGAAATGTTAGAAGGCACTTTTTCACGTGCCGAGTGGCGCATGATATAGATATGCTTTTGAGAAAGAATGTTCGTGGCATCGCAATGTTCAAATAAGTTTTGAGAGGCTACCTGAAAACATACTGACACTTTTTTTTGCTCAGGTGCTGTTGTGTTGACAATTTTGTTTTTTTGTTGTTGTTTGTTTATTTCTTTTTCATAGGGGCATCCCTATGCACAGATAAATAAATAAATAAATAAATAAATAAAAAGGCTAACACTTACTTTTCCAATAATGCTTGCCCCTAGTAGACCGCTGAAGCGTCAAAACAGCCAATCTCACATCGTCCAAGAGTAAAAAAAGCAATGAAAGCATGAATTGTACTCTCACCGACAATTAGCTTATTCTGCTTAGAGCACAGTACGGTAGGAGGAAAGAGCTTGGATGTTCAGTTTAGCAGTAAGTACGCGCATACTAATATTTGTACCTCTCTCATAGTTATCGTTCAAATAAGAACAGCAGTTCATGAAATTCTCACAGTTAAGCTGATATTTACCAAAGTTTCACATATCGTAAGCTTCAGGGGCTCCAACACTGCCTCATCTTGTGCTCTACAGTACAAAAAAGACTTCTTTTTCGCGAAAGCTCACGTTTCACCAAATCCATAGCGTTCAACTTCCTCACTGCATCGCCATCATTTATTCATTTGATTTCTATTTCCATTATCAGGCACTCCTTTACTTCTGCAATTCTGTGTAGCGGAGTAGAAGGCCTTCTGACTGAGCCCATGTATCAAATCCGCTTTCCCACAGTAGCCGCTGATTCCCCCCCCCTCCCTCCCCCTATTCAGCGTGGGAGGTTGAGGCTCCTCTTCTTCCACACCCGCGTTTACTTAGGCTAATGGAGCAATGTCAAAAACATCCTAGTTTTGCAAAGATTCTGCCTCTAACCTTGGCGGTGTCTGCTCACTCTCTTATCAAATTAAAATAGTAAACGATTGTTTTTGTCATCTTCGCTCTAATCGGGTAGATTTCAGAACCAGCGTACGAAGATCCGAGGGTCGATATTGCTGAGCCTGCCTTTCAGCCGAAAAGTAGACAGAAATTTACGATCGAGTCATGATAAACGGGAAGCTCATTCTTAATGTAGAGTGCAGAGATGACGTTAAATCAGAGATCAATTCTTCTGCAAGAATAGCGAAACTTGATTAAGCGTAAAATCAGCGAATTAGGAAAATTTCTAATAAAGAAAGCCGTTGCCCGGACAAGCACCAGTTGCATATTCCCTGATATTAATACATCATCTACACATCTATAAAACAAATAAGTGTAAATTTCTTTGTTCGTAGAAAAACCCGCTAGCTACTGAACCAATCAAGCTGAAACTTTGGACACATATGTTTTCCACTCCCGGAGATTTTTGGTTACCTTTCAAAGCGAAGTGTTAGGTACCACTATTGATTCATGGATTTACACATTCCTATTAAAATAAGCCCCTTATAGATCCACTTTGCCAATTTCGTGCAAACAACTGTGTAGCTAATGTGTACACGAAACTGGCAAAGCCGTGAATTTTTCCATGAGATTGATGCTGTGATCAAAGCAAGTGAGTAAGTAGGCTCATGCACAGGGGGGGGGGGGGGAGGTCTTGTACCGTGTATCAAGTGCGCAGAAGGGAGGAAGAAGAGTGAATGTGAAGAAGGGGGGAGGGGGGGGGGGTGAAGTCAGTGGACAAAAACAGGCCTTAAGCCATTTTGTCCTCAAATGTCATATACAGAACAACTGTAAATGATATCTCTCACAACATCAAATAGTGGCCCGGGCAAAACCGGGGAAGCCAGTCAGTAAGCATTCACTATGCAGGTTCATCATTCTGTTCACTTGACGTGAGGGGACAGGGGAAGGGGGGGGGGGAGCTTACAAAGCAACGTCTGGGTACTCATTAGAGATTCCGCTACGACATGTACCTCACTACAAATGTATTCTGATTTTAGGTTCTACAAACTGCCAATCATATATTTATTGATTCTTATGCTCACCTATACTTTTACCTTCTCATGTTACGGCTTTCTAGATGTGCATGTTTATACCGAGTAAACTTCCAATTTAATATGATGTTTTTTTATGGAGAACACGCTATGTAAAACCACCTCGCAGCGTGTGATAGTGCGTGATTGTTTCGAAGAAATATCAAACGCTTCAAACGAAAACCTAGGAGTACTGTAGGAACACCTCGAAAAAATATGTATGAAGAGGACGTCATTAATCAACTGAAAAGAGGTAATGGCATCCCTGTAACTAACTGCATCACGTCTCTTGAATTGAAACCCATTGCCCTTGTTAGATATATCCCAAAGCACCTTTTGACGTGAAAATTCGACGAGCAGCCCAAAAAATTAAAACGCAAGATGAAGGATCAAATGTGTCTGCTAGATTTTGTCTATCATCTTTACTCAGTGGGTTTGTCGAAATTTCGTATCCATGCTGTATTGGCATATAAGGGTTGCCCAGGTAACCTTTTCTTTCATATTCTATGTTTGCTATGAACTTTGTAAATTCACATTCGAAATTATTTAATTAAGTGCGCAGAATTAGTTTAGGTCGAAATAATCATTATTGATTATCCGCTGTGCCCGCTTCAGCTCGGTATGGTAGATTTTGATTGACGTCTTGTTGTATGATCATATTCGCTCCTTCATCTCGAACACTTAATCTTTTGGATTTCTTCTTTTTGTGCCCTTCCTTGTTTTCGAGTAAGTCCTGGAACAACAAAAAAGCACCAAAGTTAAGATTTTGTAGGAATCAATAGGGCAATGTTTGAATTGGGAGAGTAAAGCAGAAAGTGATTATGGAAGGGAGACGAAAGTCATATTTTCAAAAGGATTATGTACCAGTATTCAATAGTACTAAGGATACTACAAACTCAAACGATTTGCTTTGCATTGACATGAGAGCAAGCGTACAATTCGGAAAAAAAACTTGTGCGAAAACGTACCAGTTCAAGAAGCGGCGCCTCAAGTTCTTCCTAAAAAGATCATTTTGATTAGAAATACATTGAGAGATTTTTACAAATTTCTTCGAATGCAAACCTCGTCCTGCGTCTCCAAATTTTTATTCTCGCGCTGAAACCAATGTGAAAGCATAGATTGAAACATCGCAGACACGAACACACCTCTTGGGCGGTCAGTTCAGTAACTGGAGGAGGCTTCCACTATAAAATATATTTAGTTACAATCAATGTACGATAATCAGGCACACTCACATCGCGTATTGACGTAATCAGCTCCGCTGGTAATGGTTCAGGCTAAAAGTCAGTATGAATTGACACATTCATTAGAAACAAGTCGCGCAAGGCCAAGCACATGCCCTACCTTTCCGCCTGGATAAACTTTCCACGAGCGCTAAAAATTCAGAATTTAATCTTTTGTGGAGTGAGGAGGAGTAAATACCTGTCTGACTGATGGTTCGTATGGATCCCAAGCTACCTGTAATCTCATTACAAAAGTCATTGTTAACAGCTGTACCAAAGTGCAAAAAGCTCACCTTTGGCATTTGAGCAGGTTCCTGTTTTGCGACCTACAATGCGAAAGAAGAAATTCAAATTTGACTCCAACAAAACAAAAAACATACCTCCGGTTTTGCAGGTGGTATCATTTCCTCATCATCCTGAAGCTTGAATATCAATACGTATACAAATTTTGATAGGAGAGAGTAATATTCAGCGATGCGATGCAACAGAGTAATTGAAATTAATTGCATACTTGCTCTGTTTAGGTTGGTCCGAAAGTTTTGTCATTTTTTTTAATCCTTCGGCAAGCACGCTAGAATGAAGATAAACAAATGCTTCAAAATATATCTAATGCAGAATTTCTTCCACTTTTTGGCTGCTAAACTCCCATTGTGTTTTGCTGCGAGAGTGACGAGATAATTGCTGGAAATTACAACCACTCGTTTTTACCATGTCCAACTTTCGCTAACTTTCAAAATTTTTGTATGAGACTTTCGAAGGAGCCCTAATAACCAGCAGGTAGGGCAAGCCTTTTGCCAACAGAAGCAATTTTTTTCTTTTTTTAGTTGCTTTTTCAGATTTTTGCTAGATAATTTTCTAAAGTCTTGTGTTTTGGAAAAGTCGCATAATCTGTTATTGCACCAAACATTTGCAAAACATGCAGAAAACTGAGGCTGCAACGATTATTACTACCGATACCATTACAAAGTAGATGAGCGATTTTCGAAACAAAATGGGAGTTTAGCATTTTCGCTTCAAATAATGAAGATTTTGAAATATAGGTTACGTCAGTGCGCACTCCAATAATTAAGAAATACTGCGATTTTCCCCACAAATTTAGCCTGTCTCGGCAAAAAAAAGACAAGTGTTAGGAAGAGGAGAAAAATTTGTATTGAATGGTGACTGAACTGTTTATTAACATTTTATGTTCTACGAGGTTAAAATAGGCTGAATGTAAAATTTGGTCACTCAAAAAAACAAGTCGTGGAAATTCTGAAAGACAAGCCATAGGGCTACAAAAATTTGTTTCTGTTGGCAAAAGGTTTGCCCTATCTGATGGTTATTAGGGCTCCTCCGAAAGTCTCATACAGAAATTTTGAAAATGAGCGAAAGTTGGACGTGGTAAAAACGAGTTGTTATAATTTCGAGGAATTTCTCATCAATCTTGCAACGAAACACACTGGGAGTTTAGTAGCTAAAAAGAGGAAGAAATTCTGCATTGGATATATTTTGAAGCGTTTGTTTATATTCATTCTAGTGTTTGCCGATGGATTGAAAAAACTGACAAAACTTTCGGACCAACCTATTATTTGCAGTCCTACAGGTGATTTTGTCAAAAACAAGAATTCTATAGCATTTTATTGATAATCAGATTATTTCGTTGTTGTTCTGAAAGACTTGATTGTTAACTCTACCTGAGTCCGGTCATACTTCGCCTGTCTTGCAGCTGCTGCTGGAGGAACCTGAACATGTTTGATATTCCTTAGCTGGGGTGATTTAGATAAAAGGTGAGCTTCATCATCCTAGTGTAATAATAAATTCCTTTGCAACATAGTAGCTCTTGTTTTGCAGCTATTCACTCAGATGGGACAAAAAGCAACATAACCTCTTCAGCTTTCTTGACTTTTGGTTTTCTGACACTTTTCTTGGTTTTATTCTGTAAAAATCAACTTTTGTTACGACACAACTTTCAGATAGAATAATGTAACCTTCGCTTTTACGGATGGTGGCCTAGCCTGCTTTGGCGGTTTATGTTTCTGCAAATAAGTTCGCACGCGAATGGACAGTAAGAAATATCATATAGTTTGGAGCGAAGTTTGTTTGACTTCGCTTCTCTCTTAATGAATACTAACAGCACTGGCGATTAGGACTGTGACTACATGGTTCAGAATCTCTCACAGCGCTACTTCATACCTGCCCTCTCAACCGAACAGACAAGTCATGGATGTAGAAAATGCATTTGCAATCTTGATATTTACACCTGAGCATTGATGTCTCCCTTCATACAGTCTCCGAGCTTTGGGCACCATTTTGCAGGACTGACTTCAACATAGATTCACATTATGCGAAAGTTACTTATGATGAGTGTAGAATTATTCAGAAACTTGTCAGCACACTACACCATCTAACAAGGAAAGGATACTTGGTGAACCCGGCCATTTGGTATGCGATGCATACCATAAGGTGCATCTCGAAAAAACGCTGATTCTGAATCTGTGCCCGAAATCTGCGAAAGATCATATGAAGGCAGTTATGAACTTTTTTTCGAAAAAAAATTTGCGCACTTTTAGGTAATTAAAATCACCCAATTTGGTCTATTTTACCGTTTGAAGCTATTAAGGAGGATCTTGAAAGGTGTACGTTGTATTTATACCTATCTAAATCATATTCAGCATTTGAAGAGGAAAGAAAATTTTTTATTCATGATTTTCACCCTCCGCAGTGGGGCAATTCATTCATGAAAAAATAATTACAACTCCATCCAGGTTTTTGTTTCGCAGATATGGAAAGCAATATTCGAACCAGCATTAAAAGGCGCATTTTATAGAAACCACCATACTTGGTGACCCCGACCATTATGAATGGCCGGGGTCACCAACCATCCTTCCCTGCTAAGATAAACGGTTGAAAAAAACTGAAATCTGTGCAATTCTTCTGGCATTCTGATTTTACTGCACAACCTTTTACAATTTTCGAAGCATTTGAAAGTGCATTACTGGTTTGAAAAAAAAGATTTGTGGCAATATACTTGACTTACATAAAAGAAGCCTTGCGGTGAAGTGCGTATTTAAAGGAAGTGTCCGGGCAAAAACTCGATTTCTAGAAAATCCACTTACCGGGGTTATCCGCAACGCTGAATTCGAAAATCCACATTAGAAGGCGCGAAAACGGCGAGAACATGCGTTTTCCAAAGCCTTACAAATTGAAATTCGACGATCCCCGCCAGGGCAGAGACGCAGAGTCGCTGCGGGACCCCACATTTTAACTGTTGCGGCATGCGTACTCTGCCGCATAGCAGGAATTCGGACAGCTCGGAGGACCCCGCTCCAAAGCGTAAGTTTCCCCACTTTCTGGTCGTTCTTCTTGCTTTAGGTCGAGCGTTATGACGTCGCACTTGCGCGATGTTGTGTCTGAGGGGGGCCACTCTCGCATAGCACTGAAATCCCAAAACCCCGGTGCCCGGACACTGCCTTTAACTTGGCTCATTAGGATTTCCAACTTAATTGATTTCGGTTCTGAGGCATTATGTGTCGTTCTAGTACGAAATCTCTTTCTACGATTCCTACCGTAATCCCACAACATGAACAACGATCGGTTATCCCTTCCATACTGCAAAACTAGATTGAGCCCCTCCACACAATAGCATTTTTCGGCAAAAGAGTCTGTGCAAACAGTGTATACATGCTTTTAGGACATCTTGTAATGTGCACAATGTTTGATCTTCAATAACTCTCCTACTTCAGCGTTTTTTGTTGCTCTTTAGGCACCATTCTGTAGAGGTGGCTTCTACTTAGATTGATAACTAATCTCCTATATTTTTTGTTACTGTAGGATTACGTTAGGAACTTGAAGTGTTTCAAGCCGTAAGAGTCGCATTTCGTTCCGAAAAGAAGAACAAACAACCAAACTTTTACGCTAGGCTAATTAGAGTCGTTGATAAAGGGTAAGCAATTCGCACACCGCGGTCATGCTTGCTTCATAAGTTATTTCAGGAAAACAGTAACAACTGCTTTTCCAATGTTTTTCAAAGATATGATTACAACCCTGAAAAGGCTCCGAATTTTTGTAAGAAGTAGCATGGTGAAATCAGCATGGTGAAAAAACCCGCTACACAAATTTCCGGACCTTTTTCGGCATTCTTCTTTATCAAACACCCAATTCACAGGGGTGCTGTAAGTATGCTAAACATTCACACCCTATTGCTACACTAGCAAAGAGAGATCGGAGTTTCGCTCCATACAATTAACCTAAGTTGAAGTGAGCTCTGCAGATGATTGATACCTAAAGGTGGCATAAGACATCGAAACAACCAAGTTATAAATGATCAAATAGCGTGCACAATTCTTGGCACACCCTGTATATCAGGTAATAGCTAGTATCAGGGCCGCTGGCCCTACCGAAGCCATGGTATTGATTAATCTATAGCACTGCGGGCCTTCGAGTTTTAGGATGAGCTCACCTGCTACATGAAGCCTTGAGTCACAGCATCCTCCCTATCGCAAAGTGAAAATGAGCTTTACGCCAACGTTCACGCGAAAATGAGAAGTTATTTGTTTGCAAATGATAAGAATTCACTTTCATTGCAAGGTGCTTGACAATAAATCAATAGAATTTTCCAACAGATTATCGCAAAAAAGTAGCGTATGATCTCGAATGGTGTCAAAAACATATGCGAGCAAAGTTTGGTACCTCTCACTCAACACAAAAGTTTCTATTCCGCAAGTGCGAACGAAAATTTACTACATCCGGTTTTATATAAGTAATAGAAGAAATTTTCGTGGTGTTCACCATAGCAAAGCGGCTAAAGAGAGTTGTGTTCAGTTTGAGAAATTGCGGGTTCAATCTGTTTTTTTGTACAGTATCAGTCAGACGTGACGTTCATTGTTCATCAGTTCATCCACACAAGTTTTCATAATAGTTTTGACAGTTAGATCGACTCCTTTATGCAAATCAAGTTTGGTCCGATACCGTTCGCCCCTCACTGTAAAGGCATTTTTGATATCATACAAAGCTGTTTGAATTTTTGCGACCGTGCAAGAATGTGCTAGACCACCAAGACTACAATCTTAATCTAAAACAGTTGAGGATGTCGGAGGACGTGTTTACACATACTGATGCAATAACTTAGGCTAAAATTTGGAATAATTGATAAGTTTTTAGTTTGGTTGTGATTCGATCTCCACCTTTATTTTTGCAGCTTTAGGGTTGCCGGAAAAGAAATTTGAAATCACCCCCCCCCCAAAAAAATGTCTGGAGCAAGTAGCTAACTCTGCACCTCTTTAATCCAAGAATTTTTTTCGTTTTAACATTGATATCAATAGCACTTACATTGTCTCGTCTGCTTTTGCCCACAAAACGATGTCCAGCAAATCTATGTGATAGCCTTAGTTATAAAATAGTGCTTCAAAGTGGAGCAAGTTTTCGAAGGTGTGCAAATGTTTTTTTAACAAAAAAAAATGTACAATTTGTACTATCAATCTATGCCGTCAGGATGAGAAACTTGAAGCGTTGAACATGCGTAGCTTACGAATCCTCCTAGCAGCTGCGCTACGTCGCACCCATATATTATACCTTATCGTTCTTAATGGCCGAAAAACGCTAAAATTTTCACGCTTATGACTTGAAGCTGCGTTGCAGAGAAGGCTGCCTTAAGATTAGAGGCAAGGACCTACTTATAAATTCAGCCTAGTCACCGGTGCTACTTAGTGTCTTTCCTTGTCAACCAGAATGAATAGTAGTTTGTCTTCTTGCTGATTCACCTTTTTGACGCTTTTCTTGGGAGGGTTCTTATGAGTTGAAGCTGACTTCAATCTTGATTCGTCCGTCTACAGATGGAAAGTAATGATTTTTGGTCGAAATTACGATGTTCAAGTTACTAACGGTGCTATCTTCTAAAGCAGGCAAATAACTACCAGCTTTGCAAACTCCATAAAGGAGAAAGAGCGATCCAATGATGCATAACACTGCAAATAGGATCCTCAGATAAAAGAAAACTATAGTGTAAATTGTGGTGCGTTTGCAGTAACATTAACTTTTATAACCAAAACGGTATTTTCGTATTTCTTGTTCAAATTGCAGCATTTGATTTCCAGGCGTTCCTAAAAGACTGAGCAAGCTAGAAAAAATATGCTAATATAAGCAGTGGCTTGACATTTTGCCTTCCCCCCTTATCCGAGGAAGCATGGACATATAGCATCGCTCCCACGCCGGAAATCCCTTTCAACACTGGAGTGCGCATACTGTAATGTAATCACAAGGGTCTCACAACGACACTGCGCTTCTAACATTGGCGTGCTTTGCGTCTGTCCGTCTATGCTGAAATCAAGGACTTTGAAAAGTGTTTGTTTTCGCTTTTTGCGCTTTCCAAGGGGGTTTTTTAACATTGGCGTTATGAGTAATATTCCCGGAAGCTTAGCATATTTCAATTGACTAAATAGATTAAATTGTGACTCAAGCAGCTACTGACCAAATGCAGGCCAAATGCCTTGTGCAGGTAGAGTGATGAACTTGCAGTAAGAAGATCCCATTGCATTCCATAGGTTTCCCAAGGGTTTGCAAGGTGGAGACAGAAAAGCTTTTTCGTCCTTAACATATCATGTTAATCTTTGAAACTAAAATTTATTACGCACCTCTTCACTTATCATAGAATAGTATATGTTGTTGGCTTTCACAAGTGAAACTTCGTTGCTGATTTTGCTGAATAGGTCCGCTCGTGCATCTGGGGTCAAAATATGGTAGAGCTGAAAATTCGTTAACATGGCCAATCTGCATGCATTTTTCATCTCATTCTTCATCCACGTAAGGACATTAGCCGTGCTACGAGGACTGTACAACGAGATGCAACTTTTTCGTCGCCCCTGACCATTCCTATAGGGAGGAGGATTCAACAAGGCACAATATCGCTGAGAATGTTCACCGTGGTCTTGCGGTGGGTAATGGAGCCGTTGCTGAGAAGAGGCATAAGACGTTTTGGAAGAATCCTTTCGATGTTTTGTTCTTCAAAAGACATAATTCTCTTCTCGAGCAGCATCATTGAAGCAGCGAGAACCAAACGAAGCAGGGAAGAAGTGGATCACGAGTGAATCGAAAGTAGGCTCAGTTCATAAAGAACGTATTTACGATGCGGAAATAATGGAAGGCACCCCCAACAAATGTTTTCTCACATGTATCTTGGACGTCGATGAACATGGAGAATGACTTGAAAGAAGGTCAGCCGCTCAGACAATCACAGGCTCTCAGCCGGCGGCCACAAAGCCACCGCGAAAACCCACCAAAAGCGCGGTGGCCTCATCGCGGCCACTTTCGCTTCCCGCTGAAGCCCTCATAGCAGTCCGCCCGCTGCCAGCTTTAGCCTCCCGCTCATTGCCATATTTGTAGCCCGCTCGCTTCTACAGTTCTCAGCGGGAAGCGGCAGTGAGGCGATAAGACCACGGCGCTTTTGGTGGGTTTTCGCGGTGGCTTTGTGGCTGCCGGCTGAAAATCTTGTCTGTGTAGCTTCTTGTTATGCTTGGACTACAACGTTGTAACTTCAATTAATTCATTATAACGATGACAAGTAACAATGAAGAACATAACCATCTGGAGATATGACCACATGGAGAAATAGATATGGCCCCAGATGGTCATGTTCTTCATTGTTACTTGCCATCGTTATAATGAATTAATTGAAGTTACAACGTTGTAGTCCAAGCATAACAAGAAGCTACACAGACAAGATTTTCAGCCGGCAGCCACAAAGCCACCGCGAAAACCCACCAAAAGCGCCGTGGCCTTATCGCCTCACTGCCGCTTCCCGCTTTCCTAAAAGATAGGAAGTGTCCGTAGCCCAAAAGCTTAGAGGTTAGCTTAGATCGTATACTACGACTATGTACGGCCACGTTTGTAAACTCTGGATAAAGGTTATAACTAATGAAATGGCAAGTAACAGTTAAGTGGATGAGTACGCAAGTACGCAGTGATACACACGCATAGATTTACGTTCTTTAGAACAGAAAATATGCTGATAATAGACCTTGAGGGTACAAACATTGATAAAACGAATCCATATGGGGAGCGGCGACAAAGCAATACACATTCCACCGCGATAAATATATTCACAAACATGAGTGAGGAACTGCCAGTGTTAGCGCGCAATGCAGGGGTTTCTCATGCGAATCAACAATCCATTCGCGCCTGAGTATCGTTCAGGCAACTGTCAGTTCTGATCCAAACCCATTTTTCTTATGTAGGCAACACTTCCTCTGGAATTGTGTGCGTCTTCGTCGGTGACTGCAGCGTCTAAAAGAAGCTGTAATTAACTACGATTACAAACATCGTGAAATGCCTGCAAAAGAGAGAGTAGTTGGAAATATATAGATATATATCAAAGACAGACATTAGACAAAGAGAAACGCAAGACAAATATGGTACAGCAATTAGTGGAAGTATGAAAAGCCCTAATTTCATTTCTAGGAGGTAGGGAGACTTTATCAAGTTTTGACGATAAAAGGAGACAGAAACTAGTTCCACATCACAGCTGTGAATAACTATCGTCGATTCGTTGACTGCGCGGACTGGACATAACCGCGGAGCACGCGCCGCGAGGTAAAACGCTTGCTCCAATACAAGGTCGCCATTGTTCGTGCTCTCGCAACATGTTAACCGCGCCGCATGTGGTCCGCAGCGCTTCAGCAGTCCGTACGGTCAACGAATCGACGATAGCTGCGTTGACGAACGACTGCGTGCCAAACAATTTTCCGTAAAACTGTAAACCTTTTATGTGCTCACTGTACAAGTACAGTCGATTCATTTCATATGATCATGTGTGCACCCGCACACACCGTCCATCTTTGGCGTCCCCATCTCGGATTTGCGATCGCAAAAACGCGAGAGAGTGAGCAATTGCTATCGCTTACATCATTTAGAGATAAATAGTACCTAAAAAGAAAAGAAAACAGCGAGAAAACATCAGAATCGCTTAACGGAAGGTTGCGTCCTCCAAAAATCCAGGATGGGTACGCCAAAGATGGACGGTGTGTGCAATGGCACACATGATCATATGAAATGAACCGACGGTACATCATTGAAAAGGCGCGCACTGTGTTTCAATGAATGCACTTGGCTTCGAAATGAGAATTTTATTTTTTGAAAAGGCCGATCGGTAGAAACACGTGCGACGAAAACAACTTACGCTGTGTGTGGCACTCAGACTAAACCTCAAATCAATCCTTCCTCACTCAATGAACTTTGCGTACAACACGCTGGCGTGGAGTGAGCCGTGATGGTCGTTCGTTGCGTAAAAGGTCATGTTTTCGCGTGTAATCCGCTGAGGCTGAGAGTTTTTTCTCGAAAAAATTATAAACACAGGATTGAAGTAGCAAAGCATAGCGACGCCCTCTAATCAATAAGCATTTCGAAAATGGACGCATGCGAAACGCAATGATGCAGATCTTTGAGCGCAAAGAGAGCACGCTTGTAGTCGAATGATGTGACAGCGGCGAAAATGTTGAGAGAAAGGCACTTTTATGTTTACATTCGTAAAATGAGTGAATAGATGGTTTTTTACGGTTTTCGAGAGAGTTTGAAAAAGAGTTTTTAATACATTGTGCAGTGGATGTTTTGATTCAAAAACAAACGGGGCTTTCATTAAGCACTTCTTCCGGTTGGATAGACAGTCAAACATAGAGAACAAAAGAAATCTGATATATAAAGAATCGTTAGCTCAATTCAAAAATCTTCAAATAGCGGGGAACCACGACGAGTCCCGAAGCAACGCTCTTCCAAATAGCGCCTATGGCCCCGGGCAGACTTCACGCGATTTGATCGTCGCGACTGAATCGCGAGGAGACAACTGTTACAACATCATTCCATGCAGATCAACTTGCATTTGGTTGTGATACTTTTCCAGACCGAAATTTTTGAATGTGAAATGAAAATAAATGGAAATCTTGGCGATTTGGTCGCGACGATTAAGTCGCGTGAAGTCTGATCGGGGCCTATAGGTACTGGTTCACTAGTACTTGAAATAAAGCATTGAATGATAACGAAAATGAAAACAAAGAAAAGCAAAGATGAAAACAAAGATTAGGCAACAAGAAATGAAAAAATGACGCGAGCCCACGCTGCCAATCTCGTTTGCCTGCACATCTAACTTTTCTGGTGCGATCAACAATGTCTCGAGCGGGCAACGATATGGCATCCAGTTGGCAGCCACAATACGGCGTTATGAATTAAGGCTGCCTGCTCATAGCATTGATGCGGCCCGCTGACAGAAATCTTGTATTCGCAGCCCCATCGTTTCACGGTCGCTGCCGTTTAACGGAGTCGCTGCCTCATCGTCGCCTTTTGGCTGCTTTTGTAGGAATGAATGCGCTCTGCAGCTATTTTCTGACTCATGGAAGATTATAGCTGCCCGCTGGTAGCCCGTCGCTGCCCGCTCACCGCCATTCCTACAATGTCGTCGCCCGCTCACTGCCACTTTTGCAGTATCGCCGCCCGCTCAGTGAAACTGCCCTTTATCGCCGCCGGCTGAGGGCCTGTGATTGTCTGAGCGGAGAAGAGCAGCATCATGGGCCTTTGAAAGAATTCACCGACCGACTGTAGGGCCCGGAGCTTTCAGCCAGCGCTCTGTAGCGCTGTTGAGACATGAGCCAACACTGCAACCGCGCCGAAAGCTTTACGAACTCCCGAGAGCAGAGCGCTTGACAGTCTTGCGAGACTCGACACAAGCAACATCTTCGGAATTCGCGGCACGAATATGAGGTGAATGCCCCGTCTTTGTGGCATAGGAATACCTTGCAAAAGCAAAGCACCAATGGGCCGGTCACATCATGAGAAGAGGAAGACCACCAGCGAGGTTGACAGACTTGTTCAAGGAAAGGATGGGACAGGTGAGAAATTAACCTGATATGATTCCGCTCCTGAACCTCGTAGACGTAGCCACCGATGACAATCAAAAAGTTTGTGTGAAGTATAGGATAGGGACTATAGAGAGCTCTTGTGCTGGGCCCACATACCATAGGTCACTTAAGTACTTATGGGTGTACAAAAATACTTGTTTTATAAGAAGACTTAAGAACGCTAAGCACGGTAGTAAACCTCAAATTGCACTCATCTCAAGGACGGAACTTCTAAGACAAAATAAGCTCCGACTTGTACAGCACAAATGTGCCCGATCTTTTGAGTCCCTCAATCAGAGCGTGAAAATGTACCAACGTTTGAATACAACGAATGCAGGCTTGCCAATAGGAGGGCATGGGTGCGAATTGATCACGTTCCTTCTGCAACATTGTCATCGTTGTATCAATCGAGCTTATTCCTGAACCAACCGATAACGAAGTGACGTAAGGCAAGTGATAACTTTCGGCTACTTTGCGTTGTTCGCAGAATAACCGCACAAATCCGCGGACCCCAGATTGAACCAAACTCCACCGTAATTTATGTAATTCAATGATGCGACTACAATATTTGCACTACACTGAATTGTGCGCAGAGCTTCATCTCAATCGGTCAAAGAAAACGCTCTCTAGGGAACATGAAGTTACTGCAAACACTTAGAGACTTTCCGTTATACATCAGAAAGATTAATAATCTGCATTACTCTGGCAATCAGTAAAAAGCACCCCCCCCCTCCCTCGAAACTTGCCTCTCTTGTTTGTACATCCGCGTTCGCGAGAGTTCCATTGAGTTTTTCAAATGTTTCTTTGACTTCTTTTTTGAATTGCTTTTCTACAAATTGTTTCACTTTGTGGTCGACATTTGAGTACTGGGAGCAGCGCACCTTGACTGTTTAGCGACTGGTCTTCAATCCTTCGAATCATAACAAAGAGTTCGTTAACACCATCCTAAAACTAAGTTCCAGCGTTCTTCCTAGCAACTGGCGAATGAGTAACCTTCAAATCTTTGATGCGATCTTGTAGGTCAATTTTTGCCTCAGAATTATTCAAAGTTGATTCAATTTTTGCAATCACCTCGTCCAGCTATAACAACTAAAATCATAACTTGAAACAAAGTGGGATGAGTAGCCGCATGCAGCAGCCCTTTTAAAATCGTGTGTCATGATATTTACCATGCGTTAACAATAACATTGAAAAACTCCATTTGAAAATTTCTCATTGAACTAGAACAATTTTCATGAAAGTTCTGTATCACTTAAAGGCACCGTCCACCCAAAGCGAGGTTGATGAGATTTCGGTGGCATACTAGTGTGGGCCCCTACACTAGGCAAACCCCCAAGTAGCGAGGCAAAATACTCCTTCCGAAGCGAGAAATCCGCTCCGGAAGGGACGTAACCGGAGGTGGTCACTCCGCCCACTTTGCAGGCGCACCGTTGGAGAGACTACACGCACAGCGCAGTACGCTGCCTCGTCGTAGGCGACTAATCGGAGTTTTTCTAGTGTTATTTCGTGTACTTGTATCCTCAACCGTTCGTTTTTTATTCAGTCATGACCAAATCTACGACAAAGTTGTTTTTTCGATTATAGCCATCATCAGCATCCGGCATAGCTGTTTTTCTTGATATGAACACGATCTTTCGTTATAGGTGACGCTTGTGCTCAATAAAACGAGATGAACATGCGACGTGAGTTTTTTCATTGCAATGTACATCAAATTGAAAAACTATTTGTAGTCAAAATAATCGTTGACGCCGTCTACATGACTAATGGATCATCGCAATAAACTATCACGCATTTCTGTGTGCTAAAACACTTGCTTTCACTGCTTTCTGTGTGAATGTGCTAAATACGCGGAATCTGGATCAAGACTGGGGCAAACATTTCCCAATACTCCTAATCGATTGCACAATTGCCCATGACTAGTTTACTAATGACGCCCTGCGTATATCAGCGCGCCTGCAAAGTGGGCGGAGTGACCACCTCCGGTTACGTCCCATCCGGAGCGGATTTCTCGCTTCGGAAGGAGTATTTTGCCTCGCTACTTGGGGGTTTGCCTAGTGTAGGGGCCCACACTAGTATGCCACCGAAATCTCATCAACCTCGCTTTGGGTGGACGGTGCCTTTAAAAGTTTTTCCTTCCCTTTCCAGTTTGTTAGCGATGTTCTTCATCGCTGTAGATTTTTGAATGACCAATTTTAGTGAAGAATCTGACTTTCTGCACGAAAGAGAGAAAAAAGCGAGGTCGTTTGTAAACTGATGGTCTCAAGTCACCTGACTCCAAAGCTGCCCATTTATTTTCTGAAAACGGAGGACAAGGAAATCTGGAGAGTACTGGAACACTTCAAAAGCTGTGTCTCGACAAAACATTCACAAACAACAGACAAAATCTGTGCTCGCAGACAATATCTGTCTGCGAGCAATATTGTTGTCAATAATATATAATATATAATTTATAATTTATATAATATATATAATACAATATTGTCTGCCAACCTTCCCATAGACGACTGACAAAACCTCGAGTCATTTGTAATTTAATATATGAGATTGCACACTAAGTCCTATTAGCGACGGCACCCTTACTACTAACTTCCCAGTAAAACATCTAGCTTAACAAAATATAGAAATGTGTTCTACTGACTAACATATAACCAACTAAAACAAAAGAAACAAGGAAGCAAAGGGAAAACACTGGAAATGAGCAGGTTCTAGTTTCGCAGTTCGTCAGTTAGCGTGTGTAGTATGCACCTACGCATATTGTTAGAAATGACTCGACGATACACCATTTGAAATCTGCAGCTTTGTACATGCATAAAAAACTAAATTATCAAAAGTCCAATAATTATTTCTTCATAATCGTAAGAAGCGTACTTTGGGCGCCTCTTCGATCGAAACAAGTACTTTCCCTGTGGCATTGAACAAAGTGCGACCTTCTTGACAACTTTTCATTGTTCGTCTAGGATTGTCCTTGTATATACGAAGTTGTGCAAGCTGTAAACTGCTTGCTGAATTCTAAAACCTACATAATATCCACTGGTGGTTGTTTCGGTGACGGTGTGTCATCATCTTCATCGCCAGGACGTAGAATTTCAACGGTAGCAATGTCATCAGTGAGACTGGCGCATACATAAGCTGAGGTGTAAGCAACTATGAAAGCTCCTCTGAAAGTCTGGAGTTAAGATGGAATTTCGAGCTTTAACCTCTACTCACGCTAGTAGAACGAATAAGAGTGCAACCGTTATCAAAGCTTGAAAACCTTCTTTATTGAGAAGGTAGTAAGTGAAAGCTCTCGTTCTGCTAAATTTGGCACTTTGTCGCAAGTTGTAAGTCTTTCTACATTTTCGGCACCATACCAGCACATAAATGTCACGATGGCTATGACCGCGGACATCAGTTGAAATGCAGGAATGAGATTAAGAACGAGTGCATAGTTGAATTCAGAAGCAGCAGCAAAATCCTGCAAAAGCTTATTTACAGCTACGCATAAATGCGTATGTTGCTTTACCTCTGATTGTATTGAGCTGTTCAAAAAATTCTGCCTATTCTATCACGAAGGCCATAATTAAAAGTGAACGAAGAACTAATTTGGAATGTGTTTACGATGCGTGATTGTGCTCTAATAGATGCATTAAACAGCTCAAAAGCTTTTCCGTAAGGTGGACAATAATTACGGAAGACTGGTAGACCATTGCTCTAAGTACTGCGAAAAGGCACATTTAACTATAAGAGAAGTGCAGAGCTTGCGCGATTTTCGTTAAAAATGCGTTGATCTCTCTGTATTCGTCAGCTTAAAGGCAGCGTCCAGGCAAGTCTGGACGTATGGGGATTTTACGTGGAAAGTACTTTTGGGGCCCTAACTAAGGCACTGCCCAACCGGCAGCTCAGGTAGTGCCCTAACGCCTGAGATATTCCCCTCGAAACTGGACCCCGCGACCGTGTTCCGCATGGATTCATGGCGCAAAGCGTGGGATCCTGGCGCGAAACTGCCATGAATCCATGCGAATACGTTCGCGGGGGCCAGTTTCGAGGGGAATATCTCAGCCATTAGAGCACTACCTGAGCTGCCGCTTGGGCAGTGGCTTAGTTTGGGCCCCAAATGTACTTTCCACGTAAAAGCCCCATAAGTCCAGATCTGCCTGGACGCTGCCTTTAAGCGGCATCCAATCACGGCGTCAAATAGTTATATGTTGAGCAAACAATTGGTAACGCAAGCAGTGGCATATCTGAGAACGGAGGTGTGAATGGCAGAACTTTGTGAACATTCTGATAGTTCTATCTCGCTAGTGGAAGATGTCAAAGTCAGGAAAAACCCTTTGTTCAGGTGTTTCTCATCTTACGAAGTTGCAATATATCGCGGAAAGATCATGTCAGCAAAACATTGAACTTAAGCGTGATGTGCTTACATTTTTTCTTTGCACCATCATCGCGGCAGTCGTGAGATCTGCAACCTCTTTTGATATCAGCGTGTGCGTCTGAAACGCGGAGGCTTCGTAAGTTTTTTCCCATTGAATTTTACCAACTGTGTTAAAGTGAGAGGGATAGGAGTTGAAGCTTTCATTGAGTTGTGCTTTCTGCGCATCAACGTGTTGTTCTAATTTTAAAATCTGAGCTAGGCGATGGAGTAAATTGCTTTTGGAAGGTTCATTCTCTCAAAGACTTCCACACACCTCAGCCACCAAAGCTTTGATAGTGTTCTCAACATCAGTGATATCACTCTGTTCCAACTTCCAATCACTAACTAGACGCGCCTGTGAATAAGAACTAGTAAGTGGAAATCATAACCCCCTATTACGAATTAAATTACCAAATCTCTAAGTTTTGAGCGTAACGCAACAAATTTATTTGCGTATGGTGACTGAAAGCGTTCTTCTGCGCTAGTAAGATTCTTCGAAATTTCGTCTTTGACTTTCAATATCTAAAAAACGCATTTTGTTACCTGCTTTATATGGCCGCTTACTTACCACATTGCTTGATCGGTTGTTCAAACTTGTTCGAAGATTATGCAGAAAAATTAAAACATCACCAAGCGTTGACTCCGCATTTTGTTCATAATGTAGCCTTCTTTCGTTAAAATGACATATAGTAATTTGAGCGGATTCCGTGAGAAAATCTTTAACATTTTGAGATGAAGTTTTTATGCTAGCAGGATGCTTGCCTCGGTGATTGAACGCACCCTTTTGATAATTCGAATCTTTTTCCAACTTATCCCGACCATACTGAATTGCCACTCCACTTCTGACAAAAACGTAGACACCAGCGGCAGTGAAGCATATGCATATCGTCAAAGATACGAAAGCGCATACGCAGGCGCTGCTACTGGGAGACCTCTAAAAATCCTCATCTCAAACATAGTCTTCTATTGTGGAATAATAATATAATGCTGCTAATCCGTCGGACTGTAAGTTGATCTATTACGAAATCACAGTTAGGAATAATTTACATTGCTTTAATGCATGTGAGAGCTCATAACAACTAAGGGTCATTCTTGATTAGCAGTTTCTCGACTGAAGAATGATTGGAGGCAGAGCCCGGCGCGCGTTGGTTTGGACCTTTTTTGGAAACGAAGTCCCCCATGACTTCACGAATATTTACGAAGTCCCTTTTGACACAAAAGTCAGTAGGAAAACCTTTGTGCAATCTTCATAACAAAAAAAAAACGAAAAAAAAACCACATTTTGAAGTACCTAATATGACAAAAAGGGAAAAAAGTGAGTATGGTACGATTTTAGTGTTCAGAATGTTGGAAACCTCTTAGGCTAGCCAAATCTGTGGCTTCAACAATCTGGCAATGCATTTTTCGTCTATTTCGAAGGAGACCGCATGTGATCGGAGCGCGATATCTACTAATGCGTAGAGCTACACTATTTTTGGCTAAAAAAGCAGAAAAGCAACGGTTTGATCTCAAGCTCTCTTCGCTATATGATAGACTAGCTAGCTTACCCGGCTCCGCCGTATCCGGACCAAACTTGGCACACATACACTTCGGGCCCCGGCGGGTGTCATAGTCCACTTTTCGTTATCGATCGATGTCGATTTTACCGATTTTTATCGATTTTTTTGCAGAGTTCACCTACAGGGCTAGGAGTTGGCACAGGGGGGGAAGTGAGCATGGGGATTCCGAATACAACATTAGTTTTCAGGATCGTCCATTACTTTTTATCGATTTTATCGATTTTTTTTGTAAAGTTTGACCTGCGGGGCTGGGAGTTTGCACAGGGGGGTAATCGAGCATGCAGATTACGAACACAATATTAGTTTTCAGGATCGTCCATTACTTTTTCGATTTTATCGATTTTTTGAAAATTTGAGCTAGGGGGCTGGAATTTGGCACAGGAGTGTAATCGAGCATGCTGATCACCCCCCTGTGCCAACTCCCAGCCCCCTACCTCAAACTTTGCAAAAAATCGATAAAATCGATAATAGTAATCGATAATCCCGAAAACCAATATTGTATTCGTAATCAGCATGCTCGATTACCCCCCTGTGCAAAATCCCAGCCTCGCATGTCAAAATTTACAAAAAATCGATAAAATCAATAAAAGTAATCAATAATTCTGAAAACTAATTTTGTATTCAGAATCCCCATGCTCACTTCCCCCTGTGCCAACTCCTAGCCCTGCAGGTGAACTCTGCAAAAAATCGATAAAAATCGGTAAAATCGACATCGATCGATAACGAAAAGTGGACTGTGACACCCGCCGGGGCCCGAAGTGTATGTGTGCCAAGTTTGGTCCGGATACGGCGGAGCCGGGTAAGCCAGCTAGTCTGAAATAAGAGCAACATCTCTATTGAGATAATCTCACGGAAATTGCAGACGATGATGCCCAGATAAAAATCACGTGACCTGCTCGTGAGTAAACTACGAGATAGTTGATGTGACATAATAGTGCACACGACAGTGCGCGAAGATACCCAATTTGGAGGGAGTTAGAAGGATCAATGAGCAGCCGTTCGCAACCATGAAAAAAGAAAAACAACTTTTATTCTTTTTTGCCGGGTTTGCTGCAAGCTTTGAAAATGCACCAAATAAGGTTTTGTATATCCGACTCCTTTAAATTCTGTTCCACAAATTTTCATTCTCAAAAGAGATGCATGCCAGAATATTTTTATTTTCATATTTATGTAAAGTACATTGTACAAGCGATGTGTTACTATCCTACTATAATAACGCGCTAAGAGTGTTTACGTGTTTTTGTGTGTCTGTCTGTCTGAATGTCTGTCTGTCACGAAATTCGTAGAGCGTGTTCCAGCCAACGCCCTGAGCTCAAATTTTACATAGCACCTGCTACTGGCATGAAAGTCCGACATGCAAAAGCACAAGCAGATTCGTTGAGTGGCTCTCTTAGAAACTGCGCATCAAACGGATCCACTTTGCAGTTGACCCAGAAAATTGGGTCCGTACTTTCACTTTTTGCAGAGTGGTGGATGTTTATGGCAAGTAAATGTGTAAGCCATGGACAAAAAAGTGATGAAAAATCCAAAACCATCTTGTCTTGTCTTCCGCTTTTAGAGAATATATAGTTTGCCTGGAGTCTGTTGAAAAAGTGCCTGGGTAAAGAGTGTGGGTAGTGATTTCTGAATATTTACGAGTTTTTAGGATAGAAAAATCCGTAACTTCTGAAGACGAAAATCTACGCTGGGATAGTCACCATTGAAATCGCCTCGTTTTCTGCTTTCAGAAAATATACACTTTGTCTGAGGCCCGTTGAAAAAAGTGCCTGGGTGAAGGGTGTCCTAGTGATTTCTGAAGATTTTCGAGTTTTTAACATAGAAAAATTCATAACTTTTTTAGATGAACATCTTGTACGCCGGTATAGTCACCGCTGGAACCGTCTCGTCCTCCGCTTTCAGAAAATATATGCTTTGCCTGGGGTTTGTTGGAAAAAGTGCCGGGTGAAGGGTGGGTGAGACTTTTATAATGGGAGTGCTCAAGTATACGTCTTTGATAATGGTGAAAAAGCCTGTATTTGAGCACTCCCATTATAAAAGTCTTACCCACCCTTCACCCAGCACTTTTTCTAACGGACCCCAGGAAAAGTATATATTTTCTGAAAGCGGAGGACAACACGGTTGCAATGGTGACCATCAAGGCGTAAAAGATGTTCATCTACGAAAGTTATGAATTTTTTATGATTTATGATTTATGATTTATTTGCCTTTCATATTATTACAATATGAGGCACCCAAACAAACTGATCTCTTTTAACGTGAGTGATCTTACTCTTTGCCAATTGCCAGTGCCAAGCTTCTTCTTTCTCTCCATCTCGTTAGGGCCAGCATATTGAGTTGTGTTATCTTCAGGGCTTCTTGCAGTTCATGTTGGTCTTCGTTAGGCAGGCGTCTCACGTTGAATTCGATGTGTGAACAGTCGTTGTTGGGGTGGAACATACTTGATCCTGCTGTTCCGGGGCTTCCTGGATCAAGGGGTTCGACGTCCGGTAGGGTGGGAAAGAGCGGTCAAAATGACCGACCAGTCGAGTGACGTGTAGAAGATGAACTTTTTTTATGATAAAAATTCGAATATCTTCAAAAATCACCAAGCACACGCTTCACCCGGCACTTTTTTGAATGGATTCCAGACATGCTATATATTTTTTGAAAGCGGAAGACGAGGCGGTTCCGACGATGACTATTTCCTTGCACCAGCTATTCATATGCAGTTGTCACGGATTTTTTTTATCCTAAAAACTTGAAAATTCCCAGAAATTACTAGGCACATCCTAAAGCACTTTTTTGAACGGATCTCAAACATGCTGTATATTTTCTGAGAGCGGAGAACAAGATGGTTCTAATGATTACCTTTTCGCCGTGAAAGATGTTCGCCTATAAAAGTTATGAATTTTTTATGTCAAAAACTCGAAAACCTCCGAAAATCGCCACTCACATCCGTCACCAACAGGGTCAAGCAAGGGATGTGGCACACGATCGATGGTTACGACCCCCCCCCCCTGAACTATACACCTAATACAACATTACCAGAGTTGAGAAAGAGGTCAGGCACAAGTCTTTCGAAACCCCCCCCCCCTCCCATGAAAGCCCTCAAACAACCTCTTCTTCCTCCTCTTAACCTCTGGACCTCAAAGTGTGACATTCTAGAGGACACCAGTTTTTTTCAGAGAGTTTTCAGATTTCTGAGAGCTGTACGCCCGATTTTCTGGGACTGCACTTTACTCACACGTAATTTGACTGCTGATTTTGATCTGAATGGACATATTGAAAGGGCCATAATTTTCTTATGGGTGGGGCGTTCGGCTCCAAATTTCCACTGTAGCAAGAAGAAGCTTTGTGCTCAATACTCATACCAGCAATGGAGCGCTTTCTGGATTTTGAAGGCAAGTTAAGGGGGTGTGCCGCACCCCATTAACTATATCAAAAAAACATTCTTAGCGGACAGTATTTATATGAATCGATAGCCTAAACCTTGTAGATTCCATAGGACTGTTTGGAGCCTGATTCGTCTTCTTAGCTCTGAGTAATATTTGGTGAAAGCACAGCGATCAAAAGCGGAAAATGGGAAAAACGAGATTTTGGTTGGCTTCTAATTCCACAGTTTTTCTTCTGAAGCGGGATTCCTGAGGTGGACAAAGAAGGAGTAGTGCTTTGTCTTGAGTGCAAAAACGGATAGCTAATTCACCTTTGAAACAAAGTTAACCATCTTGGAATTTGACCATTTCATTTAGGTAGCCTAGTATCTTGAATCTTCAGAATTCGCTCACACTTTGTCTACAGGGGTTAATTGACATGCTAATTATGGATATGATACGAATATCATGTTATCACTATTATGAGGTTACCCAACTACGACCCCCTCCCCTTTTGACTCCTCAATGTGACCCCCCAGGTGTGGCGTGCCGCACCCCACGCTTGACCCTGGTCACCAAGCACTTTTTTCAACAGACTCCTCCTTTCCTATACATAAACAGTTCACGTACAAATATCTCCTTTGCTTAACCTACTTACTTACCTCACTGTTGATTTTTTTCTCGGCTTTTGGTGAAGGGGGTCACCTTGATCCCGGCTCAGGGGTGAAGAGGGGGTGAGAAAATTCTCACACTATCGCACCTGTGCGATAAACTATCCATCCACCTTCTAACCGACTATATAGAAAGGTCCAACTCCCTATAAAAATAGCAGCATCAACCAAACCGAAGATCAAGCTAGTGCAAAATGATCTGGCGGGTTGCAGGTCGTTGATGTCAAAATGAACAGCCTTTTGGTAAATTTTTGGATTTTAGATTCCAAAGCGCTTTTCTTGCACGCTAGAGCTCAGTCCGGAGCAAGGCGCATTTTTCCATGTATCATTATGAATTCAGAACTATGTTGGTAAACTTGGTCTCAGCCTCTTAATCACTATTCTGCTTCCATCCGTCCTTATAATTTTTTCACTGATAGGTTTATTTTTCCTACTTGTGAGGTGAGCATGGCGCTGCTTGTGATGCTATTACAATTCGATGATTTCTTTGCAGGTACTTAGCTGACTGCTTCAAGGAGTCCGGCGAGCAGAAATATGCGATGCGAGGGTGGCCATCTCGTCTGGGGGCATGCACACTGGGCTTTGGTGGTTACATTGCTTTGACAATTGCGATTGTCTCGATTATTCTTTTAGTGTAAGCGCTCCGTAGTCATTCATATCTTAAACAAGGCGTACCTTTCTATTTTAGCGTTTACTTCATTCTTGCTTTTACTTCCATGTATATCTGCGTAGGTCTATTTGAAGACGAGGAACTGCGTGTCTTATTTGCCCTTCCTAAGCAGGAAATCCGCATTAAAATTGCCACGAGGAACATAACACTAACACTGCAGTAAGCCTTCTATTGATTTCATGCTTATATTACTACAGTTCAACTTTGCTTGCTGTAACGGGTAATGAAGGCAAAAATTTTTTTGATGTGTGCTTATTCAGTGATACACTGTACAAATGTAGGAATGAATACAGTTTCTTTGATGCTATAAATGGTGAACAGATATGGGCCAAAAAAGAGCTCAAAAGCGTAGGTTGCCCTTCGATGCGCAATACGAATACTAAAGATTATGATGCATTTTCTTTACCACATTATAGAAGCTGTCGGCATTGCGTAAAACTAGTTTTCGAAGAACAATTCGTAATTTTCAAATCAACGAAACACTGACAGAGAATCTAGAAGCCCTGTTCCTGCAATTAGAGGTACGTGCTCAAGATGCCAGTGTGAGTGATGAATTGTCGAAGAACCCTATTTTCACGCGTATAGGACGCGGGGGAATTTTTTTCTAAAATCGAACGGCACAGAAACGCCGAAGGATTTCGCGACCAAAAAACTTTTTGCAGTGCTGCATCCTGAGAGTATCGTGGGCATTATTATCGTCGCGTTAAGGAACATATAGACTGTGAATAAGTTAAAAGCAGCTACGCCATTAGGAGAACATCGTATAACGCGTCATGGCAAGGCTCCTATACAAGTTACTGTAAAATCTTGTCGTTAAAACCCGAGATCCTCACGCGCAAAACTTTAGAACCGTTTTGATTTACGCCAAAAATCCAAAAATTAACCGGAAGGAGGAATGTACTGCCATAAAGAGGGAACTCGCACCTTATCAGTCCCCATGCGGATTTGAATATGAGGCCGGGTCATCAAGGCACGTATAAAAGAGCTGAGGTAATGTCTTGTGTAAAGGTGGTCCTCGGACTTCCGTCTTGTGCTATCTGAGGTGAGTACTTTGCTTGTGAATATAATTTTATTGGCATTAGCTTTGTTTTTGGATGATACTTTGGTCTTTTCTTGACGTCTAGGCGAGTAAGTTCATATGATTTCGGCTTGCAGGCTCTGAAGAAGGCGAAAGCGCCGAAACGTCAGCAAATAAAGAAGTATTATTAACCTTGGAAGTTCGCTCAGCCAATTTCACTACGAGTATCCACCGTGCCAAGGTTAAAAGCAGCGGAACCTGGACAATACCCTAATGTAAAGTCTCGGCAAGTTCTGAGGTCTCACTATTTATTGACGGATGTTAGCACCATTTTTGCGTCAGCTGCGTCGTTCAAATTAGAGCACCAGGTCCCAAACAATCTTCAACTACTATTATTTCTTTGGAAAGCTCTTTGAGCCAATCTTTGACAAAAATTCTGCAGTAGCTTGGGTCGATATGTTTTTAGGCTTCGAAAGGTTTCCTTTGCTTGTAATTTTCAGTAGTTTTGGAAAAAGATCTTCTATTTTGTTACCACAAATGAGACAATTTGTGCTCGCTTGTAGCTCACATAACCTTACGATTAGTTAACAGCTTGAAATCAAAACAGGTGAGGCTTCTTCTTCATATGTTGTAGAGCCTCCTTGAAAAAGCTAACAGGCTCGATCAAAATAGATATAAGTCCCGATGTTCAGGAATGTCACGATTTGCCCGAAAATTTATTTATTTATTTATTATCCTTGCATTTTTCCAAGGAGAGGAAACAATTTTTTTCTATTCGGGTCTGCTGTTTTTGTGAATCTCTTGCACAGCTTGCAATTTAAAGCTTGTTTTTCTTCCAGCTCAAGTTCTCTTAGCTCCGCTCTAATTTTATCTAACCATCTCAGTTTCGTTCTTCTTTTTGGTCTTTTCGATATACTGGCGTGCTCGATCTGGTAATGTGGTCTTCTTCACTTCTTTTCACGTGTGCCGTACCATTGAAGCATCTATCCTGCTACTTCTACAATTGGGCGACCTTCATCATGCGTCGCATGGTCAATTGTGACATGATCCATCATTGTGATGGCTATCGCCCATCGCAGCATTTTTGTTCCCATGGTACTAAGTTTTCGCTCTTTTTGTGCGTGATAGGCCAACATTTGCTGCTGTACATCGCAGTCGGTCGGATCATCGTACGACAGATCTGCGACTTGAAGTTTACTGGCATCCGTTTTCACATATAATTCCTGTGAGGTCCCTCCATTGTAACAAGCTGCGTTTATTTGTCGCAAATTTCGTCTTCTAGCGTGCCATCTACAGAAATGCACTTAATTATTTGAAGGAGGTCTTTTTTATCAGGGTGTTTCCCATTTGGATAGTTCTAGGCGTTTGGAATCCCACTTCCATGTAATCTATCTTGAGGATGTTCATCTTAAAACCATGTCGTTCTCGTTCCAGCTGGGTTTTTCACGTTTGCACGTCCATCTCCAAATCTTTCCTGTTTCTTGCTATCAAGAGCACAACATCAGCATATATGAGTACCCATGGGGGTTGACGTATGAAATTTCTAACTATCGCGTCAACAACAGCCATGAAGAGGAGGGATGAAAGGACGGATCCTTGATGTATGCCAATATCTATCTGGAAATTCTCTGATCGTCCTCCTGCTGTCTCTACGTAGCTGGTTGCACCTTGATATATCATTCTTACCTACCAAACGTATCTTCTGGCACTATGCTTCTGTAAGGCCACCATATCATGTTATGTGGATCTTGTCAGATGCTTTCTCTGAATGCAGGAATGCAGCATGTAGTTCACATTGTTTTTCTCGACTCCCTTTCAAAAGTGTTCGAAGTGTGAATTGCATCGGTTGTATTGCAGCCTTTCAAAAATCCGCATTGATTGAGTCAGGCTCCACTATATCTCAGAGTCGTGTCTCCAATATTCTTTCGAAAACTTTCAGCTGTGGCTAATGAGATGGATGGGCCGATACGTAGAGCAGTCGGGTATGTCGGCTTTATTTTTCCATATTGGTATCGTTATACTCTTAAACCAGCCAGCTCTAGGCATTTTTTTGATTCTCACTATTTGGTTCAGTAATCGCGTTAGCAACAATCCATTTTGTCCACACTTCTTCCAGAATTTGTTGGAGACATCGTCTGAGCCTGTCGTTTGCCGTTCTTTGTTTTCGAAATGGCAACGCGGACTTCATCTTTTGTAATGGGTGGCACAGGTCCGTGAAGTGGTCCAGCTTTTATGTAGATGTACATTAGCAGTTCGTGGACGTTAACTCTGCAAAGTGTGCTCGCCATCTTTTATTTATCCCTTGTGGCCCTTTCAACATCCTTTTGTGTTCGTCTTCAATAGTGTAGAAGTGCTCTATGTCTCTCATGGGTCAGTTCTTCTTCGAGCCAAACAATGGATTTCAAGTACGCCTTCGGAAGTATGCAGCTTCTTGTACAACTCCGTTACACAAGTTTCTTTCGCTCTGACTTTCTTCTTTGTTGTGCGCTTCGTTTCTAAATATTTCTAATGAGCATATTCTGTCCTTGTTTTCTGCCATACTCTAAAAGCTAATTTTTTATCTCTTATCACAAGCTGAATCTCTTCGTTCCACCATCATGTTTCTTTGCTGAGAATAGGTCTTCCTGATTTCGTGCGCCCCAGTAGATTTCCTATCACCTGATGAACATTCTTCTTTAGATTCGCCCAGAACTGTTTCACAACTTCTCCTAACTCAGGTAGAGTAAATTTTAATGCTACTTTGGCGCCATGGCCTTCTTTTAGCTTCCACCATTTGATATGCTCTCTTTGCTCTGTCGTTGTCCATCTTCGCCTGCTGGATGGAATATTATTTAGGTCCAGTATAAGTGACCTGCGTTGCGGTATGCATTCTTCACCTGGAATGACCTTGCTTTTCCTCACACACTTGAGTTCACTATGCCTTACTGCACAAAAGTCTATTTGCGACTTTCGACTTTCACTGGCACACAGTCGCTTCATTTCATATGATCATGTGTGCCACTGCACACACAGTCCACTTTGGCGTCATCATCCTGGATTTGCAATCGCAAAAACGCAAGAGACTTACCGATTGTTATCGATTACACCAATCTAAGGTGACTAGTAACTATTAGGTTGGCACATAAGTTTTGCAACTTTTCCCGTAACTTTTTTCCTGTTCTATGTAGCAATCTCATTTTGTGGCATCATGTAGACCGTGATGTAGGCTACAAGTCTGCGTAAACCGTTTGATTTTTGATAACGTGGTGCAAAAAATCTAGGCATTTTTTGAAAAGTGCTGAAAATCGAGGTTTCACGATTTTTTGGCAAACATGAAGCCCTACGAAACCTGATTCAAACATATGAAAAAGCAAGTATAGGCAGCATGTAGCTGGAAATTGGCACATTGGAATTAGTAAAAAAGAAATTAAAGTCAAACACAAATTAAGATGGGGCGCCTTTGAGAGGTTGAACAAGTCAAATGCGTCAAGTTTTGAAGGCAATTTGTCAATAACTAAGCTGCGAAAAGTCAGAATTCGCTATACTTTGCACTATAGGGTAATCCTATGCGGTAAACACGAATATCATATTCATTTGTCGCTAAAATGATATCCATTTTTTGATCTCACGAACGAGGCTTTTTCATGGGAAACGGATCTCATTTTTGTGATCAGCATGTCAAATGAGCCCTATAGACCAAGTTTCAGCAAAATCTGATGCATTCTAAAATTTTTCCCATAGTACCGTAAACCTACCGTAATCCTCACACAAGATGGTAAAATTCGGCAAAAATGTGTGCATTAGAAGCTTACATCATATTCCTTATACTGCCAAAAAATGAATGCGCTACGTTCAAATAGACAAGTTATATAAAAAGTTGCATTACTTATGTGCCAACCTAATAAAAAGGAATGAAAGTGCTAAGAACACCTTGGAAACGCTTACCTGAAGGCTTGTTTCTCCCACGAAATGAGGACGCCAAAGGTGAACAGTGTGTGCAATGACACACATGATCATATGAAATGAAGCGATTGTACCTCATCAGATGACTGTTTTTCCTTATGAAATAAGTATTTGCTACCGCTAAGTTATGAGCTGTAGCAAACTCAAAGATGCGTTCACCATCTTCATTTCTTTACTCCGTATCCGTGGTCTCCATGCCATTTTCATGCACCACTCCTTTGTTTCCCGACATAGCCATTGAGATCTGCTCCAAGCAGTAGCATCTCTTCTTCAATTCTGTGCTCAAAAGACGATCACTGACTCTACCCAAGATGGTGGTTTTCTTTCTCAATCTTTCGCAGACAATTATCCCTACGCTATTTCTGCCATTACTTATTCCGTTGTATAGGAGCTTGAATCCGCCTCCAAATAGAACGACTTTTGCCCTTTCCATCTGGATTCTAGAATGTAGGCGACATCCACTCTTGAGAAGATCTGCCAATTCGCGGTGTCGTGCCGTCAAAGATCCTACGTTGATGGTTGCAAG